CAGTATATACCCTCTTCCACTTCATCATTTCAGTAATGGAGAGGAAAGTAGAATAATAGTAAATAGTGCGTAGTAGAATTTGCTGTTGTATAGATACTTATATATTTAGTACATCATCATTTGAAGGTGGCAACATGCTATCCATTATACGAGTCTATATATGATATATATATACTTCAATCAATGTTGTTACCCAAAAATATGTTCAGAATTACGAATTAACCAATGCATGCAGTGAATACAGGGTAATGACAACTAAATCCCCCTCTATATTATTTAGTGATTTCCACTTACTGCTGGAGTATAAGTTGAACAAAATTTAAGAGAGGAGGTTATCGTTGCTCATATTGCTATGGTATGTTATAATATCTACTAACCGAGCATCAGCTCAAGTTATTGCTCATCCTAACCTCACGGTTAGAAGGGCATGCATGCATGCTATATATAAATCCCAGTAGGAAACTCCGACAAATGTCGCAAGTCGCCCAATTAAATCCGAATATTGTTCATGAAAAAGGAAGAATCGCGATGATTCCCAGGGGGTATTGTATTTATCGACACCGTTACGCCAAATTCATAACTCCTGTTTGTCCAGTCCCCAGATCTCCCAATGCTGCAGCACTTCCCAGCCAACGCGTCGGACACGCCGTCGCCAGTAGCGACCGTCGCGATGAACGACTTGCGGAAGGCACGGGTTCATGCCTGGGTCGGGTGCTTGCTCGTCTGCCGGCTGGTTGGCTTCTCCTGGTTCTGTGGTGGGGGTGTCTTCTTCTCGTGTCCGTTTGCCTAGTACTGAAGGTGGGACATGTCCGTTTCGCTGCGAGGGCACCATTGCGTTATGGCCGTTGGCTGTTGGGGAGGGTCTCTCGGCTGGTGGGCTCTTGTCGTAGCCTACGTTGGCTTCTGCGCTGGTGGCGCGTGAGCCCGTGGGTGTCTGTAGCTGGACGTGTCCGTGGTTTTCGGCCTGCTCGGCTGGCACGGTGTAGTAGTCTCCTAGTTGGAAGCCCTTGCGGCCCAGTCCAATGACCTTCAGCCGGTGGAAGATTTGCTGGTCTGCAAGAGATTCGCTAAGCATTGCGATCAAGGTGTCGTCGTCGGCTTCCACAATGTCGGAGAGCGTCCGGGCGGCGGTGAGCGCATTGGCAGACGGAGAGAAGTATTTGAAGGTCTTAGGGACCGGCCCAGTACGAGCCGTCTCGGACGATGAGGTGCAGGTGGGAATGAGGAGACGCAACGCCTTTAGATTTCGGAGGAATGGAAGAAGAAGCCCCAATGCTTCCAGGCCGGAGAATTCTGTGGCGAAGCCAAGCTGCTCCAATTGCGGACTGGCGTGGACAAGGCGCGCGACCGTGGGTGCAGATAGGGGCCAGCGAGCGGGGAGTAGTAAATGTCGTAAGGTGGCTGCATGATTCAGAGTGATGTTGTTTAGGTATACGTCCCGGACGCTTGTTTGCAAACCGGGGGAGTTAGTTGCAGCGGCAGAGCAACTGGTGGAAGTACCATTAGTAGCGGGTTGAGAGGTGTCAGACGAAGGGGGAGAGAGTGCGGCAGCAGAAGTCAGAGGTCGAGGGGAGTTGATATCATCGTTGGGATTATGAGTGGCGTTGACGAAGTATAACCGTTCCAGACCGGTAAATTGGTTTAGGAATTGCGCATGTCTCTTGCTCACGGCATCCTGCCGAATCGATTTAATACGAATGGGATGAGCCGGCATTGTGGGCCAGGTGCTATCCACGAAAGTGTTCATCGAAAGATCCGCGCCACCGTGCTGGAGGATGGTCACGTCTTCTATAGTGGTACTATTCACTGCGAGACCGAAATCCTCCGTGTGCAAAGCGTACAGGTTCTGTAGGCCAATCTTCTTGATTGAAAGGGGTTGTTTCGCGGCGATGCATTTGCGGAAGTAATCGTGAACCATGACACTAGGCTCCTGCGCATTGCGCATGCGGGGAGACCAATGCATGTTGAGCTCGCGTAGCTTGCGACACTTGAACACCAGAGTGGAGATGTCATCCGGATAGCAAAGCGGATCAATGTCGGTAACCTTTAGATACCGAAGATGTGGCATGGGTGGAATCACGATGGTTGGGCGGGGATGTCGACTCGAAGGAAAGCGAATAGTCAAGGCCGTCAGCTTAGGCAGCTGCGCCAGCCCAAGATAGACAGTTTCCAGCATTTTGGTATTGAGTTCCCAGCTAAAGCTTTCCAGTTCCGTCATCCGATCGACCGCCGCACGCACCGCAATGTTCAGCATCATCGACGAGTCCGGCACGCGACCCACGCGCGCATGTTCCTCGAGCTCGAGCTCCCGCCAGTTGCCTCGAAGCGTAAGCGACCGAACGAGCGTAGCATAGGGACGGGTGATGATGGCGTTGAGACCCATGGAAAAAGGGCTGGCGCTACCCATACCCTCGGGTTCATCGTCGCGATATCGGATTTTGTCATAGGAGGTCAGGGTGATGTGTTTGTAGAGCTGGGGGAGAGCCATGTAGTTGAGAACGCGGCATGCTCGACAGAGACGGGCGAGATCGCCGGGATCATCTACCTGCAAGAGAGCACGAGGTGGTTAGTGGGTTGCACAAGCTCCATCCATGAGAGCAGTAGCTAGACGAACGTAAGAGACGATGACCGCGATTAAGTTGAGTGGTAGGATCATTAGCGGAGCGCCCTGGGGGCGATCGGTGGTGACGCTGGCTTCAAACATGTTCCGGTTGACAGCCGCCATGATGCGACGCCCAGGGGCGATAGGGTCGCAGCATGGACTGGGGAAGAGACAAGGGGGGATGGAGATGAGCCAGGCGAGACATCTATCAGAGGGACAGAGGCTCTCCGACTGGGGCGGGATGAAGTCGAAGTAACTTTCCGATTAGGATTATCGCGGGATGGCAGATGGCGGAAACTCTTCGATGTTCCACTGCTGAGTCAGGATCCCGTCTCCTCTTTTTTCTTAAAGGTCATTAAAGTTAATTAGGACCTCAAGTGAATTTAATTCCTTCTCCCTCTTCTTCATCTGCACAACTGGTTCAAATTGAAATAGAGGAAATATCCCTGCCAGTTTGACAGATGTGAGGTGGGCGATCACACGTGGTGAGAAGCAAGGAGGATAAGTAATTGAGTTGGCACATTGACTCCCCTCCACCTGATAGGAACTATACTATGGAGACAGCATGTTACAACATCCAGGTTACTACAAGAGCATATGCTGTGCTCGGAATTTCCCTCTGATTGTATCCTCCAGTCTGGGGCTCAATTGTGAAACAATCGGATCCCTGCTCTATTGTCCTGCTGCCGGTCATATCAAGGTTTGAAATGACTTGCATTTTCCAAGCCTCGCTTCTAGAAAGATGACAACGGCGAACCCATTTGTCAGATTCGGGGGATATATTGACTTTGTGCAAAGGTAGATCGTATTGGTACCAGTAAGTACCGCCTAACTAGTACTGATATTTTCATGAGAAATGCATTGATGCCAACGAAAGGGAGAAGTACCAAGCAGGCCACTCATACTACATGCTGTTAATAGTAAATCAGCTTAACAATTACAACATATCAACCTAACACCCAGCTCCCCAACTAACCCAGCTTATTCCACTCCCCAATCGTAAACTGCGAATTACACATATTCGTCAATTCCCAAGTCTCCGCCCCCAGCACAACCTTACTCCCCTCATCCTCCCACTCCCCAACAGCGCCCGCCACAAAAAGCGCTGCCATAAAATGATCATCCGTAGCATGCGCATCCCTATACTCAGGATGTTTCATCAACCTCGTCATCGCACGCCTCATCTTCGGCCCACCAGAACACTTAACCATAACATCCTCGACCGCCTGACGAAACTCCAACGCCCAGTCCTCCGGCGGCGTCTCCATCGCAAAGGTATCACGGAAGCGCAGCATCGGCGCCCACCGATTCCGGTAGAGATTGTGAACAGCACCACCAGTGCCAATGATGAGGTAGTTCTCGCGACGGAGATGGCGCAGCGTGGAGCCGACTTTCATGTGGTAGTGGGGGTCGTAGCGGGCGTTGGAGGAGATGAGGGTGGTGGGTGGACAGGCGGCAGGGAACATGCGGATGAGGATGAGGTAGACATCGTGGATCCATTCGAAGGTGTCGTTGCCGGAGGCTTTGAAGCCGGCTTGGTTGAGGAGGGAGATGCATCGGTGGGAGGTGGGTAGGTCCGGGTTGAGTTTGTAGTCGACGTATTTGGAAGGGTGGACGTAGGCGACGGGGCTTTTGCCTGGATTAGGGTTCGTGGAGATTTCGATGCCGTCGCCGTGGCAGGCCCAGTGGGCGCCCTGGTGTTGAGTTTAGTGGTGATACTAGATGGAGATAGGGAAGAAGGGGCGATAATGTACCATGATGACCACGCCTTTGATGCCTTGTGCTAGGGCTTCGTCGCCGCATTTCTTCCAGTAGTCGGCTGAAGTGGACTCTTCACCGAGCATCATGGTCGAGCCATGAGAGAAGAAGTGGACGGGTGTTAGTCCTATACCTCGTAGTTACTTAGTATGCGCTCCATAGATCCACTATGGGAGTACGTACCCATGTTGGTGTGTTCTTAGTGTGCTATCTAGTTAGTGTTGAATGACAATGCTAAATATTCGGCATATACTAATGCATCCTATAATAACGTCGATTAAGTCTGCATGCTGATGCTAGTCTGGTTGGATGCAAACGCTGGCACTTATACAAAGCCTCATGTCGGGACCATCGGGTCGGCGGACCACAAACCGAGAGGTCCATCCGAACAGCGCAACTCCGGCCCCCGAAAGCATTTCCGGGGTTAAGGTGGTCCCCACAACTGGGGAAGAAATATACTTTGATCATCTCGTAACGTGTGGGGTTGCTGAACCTGCCGGGGTTGCCGGCATTCTCGACTCGGTGGCCACTGGGATGTTCATCACAGCTTACTCTTTTACTATGCCCATACTTAAGACAGCAATATGTCGCATTAATATGCCATAACAACATGTATAAGAAGGAAAGATCAGTGATATATGCATCCCAAGGGTATCTTTGTACATCAACAATTGTGCAGTCGCCTGAGACATGGAGGGCTCCAACCAACCCAGACCAGCCTATGCATACACCCGTGCCCAGCCCAGCCCAGCCCAAGCCCCTGATTAAACCGAACATTGAAGAAAGCAAGTAAAGCAAGTTTTTGACCCAGAAGAAACAGTGTCAGAAAAGAAAACTCCAGTAGTAGACCATCCGGCAGCACCCAAGATCTCCAATACTCCCCGCTAAAAAACCAGACATCAGCGGCAGAAAATGCGAAACAGAAGCGAAATGGAGTGTTTTGAGCCAGGAAGACGCAGGCAATCACACGTTACGCGTGAACGTTACTGCTGGCCATGTGGCCCTCGTGATTCTTCAGGAGCCTCATCTGGAAGAGGTTGGGTTGGTGATATAGGTGCTCCTTCCGTCGGGTCGAGTTCCTGCTCGGATTGTTGGCGCACAGCCGGCCCCCGAGTAGGCTCGCTGACCGAGCCATCGGCGTCCAGCGCCGGCTGAGATTCAGAGCCATGCTCAACAGGTTCCACAAGCGCTGCAGCTTCAGGGTCATATCGCAGCTCATAATTGCCATGACTGAACCCTTGTCCATCGGCTGCGCTCCATGGAGCGGCGGTTCGCGTTTGCGGCTGAATCACCCTCACAGGCAGGTCATCACGGCCCGGCGGAACACGCTGATTCGAAGTTGTTGTTCGTGAACTAGGCTCGTGATATTGTTGCGGCGACCAGGTCTGTTGACCACGGCGTCTAGCCGGAATAACCGTGACTGGCAAGGGAGAGTCGGAGCCTTGTCGTCCAGAACCAGGTCGCAATCGTCGATGGAAGCCAAACCGAAAATCATGCCTGGGATGTAAGCTGTGCTCATCGTCGCTGTCATCCAAGGAATGATGCTGCGGTTCCACTTGAGCACCTGCGGGATTCCCCTCCTCCTCGGCCTGTGCAGAAGCGACTTCTCTTGGTAAAGATGCCCGCCTTCGCTTGAAAGGATTGAGCAGCGCTCGCCACCTTTTATCCACGTGCACAATTTGAGGGGATTGCTCCCGGGTCTGTTGTTGTGCCAGCGCATCTTGCGCCAGGCCGGCTTGCTGACCGTCGGTGGTCATCTCCTTCGCGGCCACCGCTTCGTCTATGTCTTCATCCTCTTCCTCCATGTGAGGCATGGCCACCGGCGGAGTGGGGCTAGAAACCGGATGATAATGTATGTTGTACACCGTGCTGGCCGCGCTGGTTGTGTCAGCGCGACTGACAGGCGTTATAGCTGCTGGGGGAGGAGTTGGTCGGGGCGCCATGCGCCGGCGCCGAGGGTCCATAGGAATGTTGTGTTGTTGGTTCTCCAGGTTCGACTGCCAATTACGACCAACCCTCGTACGCAAAGGTCGATGAGCCAATCCCATCATGCCTCCCCAGCCTGAAGATGTTCCACCGCCTCCGCCTCGATCATGGCCGTCAGGGTTGTAGCGCGGCCAATCGACCTCTTCCGAAGGGGTCACTTCCAACATCTCGTCTCCATCGAATATTTCGCGTCCAAGTATTCCATCCTTCCTCTCATCGCGTTCCAATGCCTCAATCCGCTCCACCCATTCCCAGACCACGACACTCGCGGCAGCCGAACCAACCCATCTAACATAAGTACCCCATCCGGCAATTTTCGGTTTTGCGATATCCAGAACAAAAAACACAACGGGTATAAGAATCGCACATAACGAGAGCAAGGCCACCAGACAGATATTCCTCATTTTTGGATGGAAGAAGGCGAATCGATGTTTCGAAAGCGAGTAAAAGATGACCCAAGCGGCGTACAAAAGGTTGAGAGCAAGCTCGAACAGATAGCTGAGAGCGGGGATCGCGTCCTCGTATAGCCGCGGATGAACGGTGTCGGTCTTAACCAAGAATTTGTCGAGGATACTAAATGTGGTATCAAACACAATTAACGCGAACCCTGCCCACTTGATCATGATTTTCTCCTTATGTCGAGGAAACAGCCGAATCAAGGTCTGAATCTGGGCCAGCCACAGAAAGGTGCTGGAAATGATTCTGACCACCCGGATCTCCATACCGTCGATGACCTCGTCCGCCAGCGCTTCGGCATCGGAGTACCCATAATAATATTGCTGTTCAGCCACACGAAAGGAGTCGACAGTCGCGATGGTGAGTGATACCGCGACTAACAAGGCCGCGACCTTTTGCAGCCACGGCCGACCACCCACGCCAACCACCGACGAATTACCACTATACGAACCGCTAATCATACCATGACGCCCGAGAAAGTTTGCACCGCCACCAGGACCCCCAACATAAAACGTCCGCGGCGTGATAAGAAGTATTATAACGAGAAGATAGCTGACAACGGTCGTACAGCCCATGGCATACAACGCCGGGGTAACGGAGGAATAGAAAGGATCGGTGACATCGAGCGCGGCGACCGCATGGGCCGTGGCAGTTGGCGTGCCCGTGCCGGTACAGATGGGATCGTAGATGGCATTTTCGGTCAAGGCGATAGAGTAGGAGCGATTCAAATAGACGTAACCTGCAAAGCAGCCGCCGAAGCGCCGCGTCAGTGTAACCGGACGGAAGTGAGTTTGTTTGACGGGCCGCATTCAGGCCCCGTCACAAATCCACGTACCGGAGCTGGGTAATAGAAACGGCGTGCAGTCCGCTTCATAAGTCCTGGTGGTCGTTGTCGTTGGTTGAGCCCATATTTGGCGAGGTGTTAGATGAGCGGGTTCCCCCATGGTCGGCGGGGACGATTGATTTCTCCTCGGAGCAGCCCTCAGACCCCTACGAGATGAGTCGTAATGGCTATCATCAATGCCCTTGTCAGAGTGGACCCGTCACATGTGGCCTTTTCAAGCAACCATCATTCCGGCGGGGAAGGGTGGTGCTGGTAGAAGAAGACGGGCGGGACAAGCAACGAAGGGCGCGAGAGTCGAGGCGAGAGCGAGTTGCTTTAACCGATGTTGGACGGGCGGAGGAAGTCGGGGGAAGCTGGGATGAATGGGAAAAGGGGGGGCGGGGAGACAGGTTTCGAGAGGATCCGCGTCGGGGTTTGGTGATCGGACAGAAATCTGGGAGGGATTTGGGGGGGAGATGAGGGAGCGAACAACAACGGAGCGTAGGGGAAGCGGTGCTGCGAAAGAGCTGAGGTGGTAAGGGTGGTACACGGGATGATACGTCGTGGAGAGTAGCAGGCGAGGGGGAGGAGGATTTGGCAGCGCAATAGAAAGATCCGCCACCCGCGGTCCAGATTGCCGTCGCCAGTTCGGCTCTTCTTGTACACCGCTTGCCAAATCTCCACCTCAACAACTACTTAACTATACTTTTTCCTTTCTACTGTACAGCTATCCTGTTCGAGATTCTTGCTAGAGTTTCTGCAATGCAACAAATGACAATTGTCTTTGATGGTGTTCATGTATGTACAGGTTGGCTAGACCCCCAATTGTAGGTCCACACCAGCAATCATGACAAAAAATCAACCCGCGATGGGAACCCAAGCATAAGACGAAGGCCACGAGGGAGAGTGTTTTGACTGACGGTCGATCACATGGAGACCTCAGCCTCCCAACAAAACAAGCATGGTAGTACAGGTGGATGAGAGAGGACCGGATTTATCCAGATCCCATGCACTGCGTCCCCTATTCAGACACCACTTCCGTCGTACAAATATCCCCATTACTCCACCCCCCTTTATAATTCAAGCAGCGATCAGGGTCTCACACCCCCACATTCTTCCCCCGGGAAAGCTCCTGCAGCCTTCCCATCATCTCGGAGGTGGCCCGTACGACATCTGCGTCGGAGGCAAGTATGGTGATACCAATGCTGCCCCCGTGGCACTGGCATATCTCCCGCGTTCTTCTTCCCGTTTCTTGACCTCGACCTCGTTTTGAATGAGCGTACAGCATGTGCAGCACGTTGCTCGAACGCAGTCGGAGACAATATCCCCTTCAATCTTATAGGCTTTTCGCGTTCGACGGCGCTGGTACGCCGCCAAAAGACCTGCGACAGCTTGTTAGCATACTTTGCCGGTGCTGAAGACTGACATGAAATATGCGCACTTACATTGACAACCGCAGAGCAAAGCCATAACAGTGCAGGAGCTATTGCACGTTTCATACCCGAGCATATTTGTTGGGTCTTCATTTCTTGACTTCATAGAAAGTCGATATTGCGTCTTCCCGAAAAGGACGCATGGACAGAGTAGCCCGAGACAGCATGACCCAACATCATAGCATCCGCACATGCTAGTGCGCCACGATCCGCCTTTTATCTCAAGATCTGGGTGAGTTATTTGACCTGGACGATGATATGCCATGAGATCAAATCCTACAGGTGTTGTTGGCGCCCCGTGGGCGACTGGAGGGGGAAACTGAGGTAATTGGGGCGAATGTAAAGGATTCGTGTCTGGTACAACAGCCATAGGCTCTTTTTGCGGTAACGGCTCTGCCATTTCCAGGTCCCTTTTGACTGGGAGAGGGCCTGGGGATTGTGGAGGCTGTGCGTATGAGTATTCGGGCACTTTAGGATTCTGCTGGACTTGCTGGATTTCGTCCGCGTACGGCGCATAATTGGCTGGATGTTGCTCGAGATTCGGCCCGCATGGGTAGCCTTGAACGGCCATATCTTGCTGGTACTGTTGCGACTTTTCGTTTAACGGCGGTTGAAAGTGCTCCATGACAGTCTGTGGTTCTGCTGACTGGGCTGCCGCCGGAGGTGTGATCTCATCTCTCAGTCGGCTCCCTGGAGCGTGCATTTCCATTGGAGTTTCCATATAAGAGTATCTTGGATTGGGGCCCAGGTTGGCCGTATTAAGCTGCAGTTGTCTGTTCATGTTGGCGACCGCTTCTGATCCCAGATCGCAAACTCGTTGACCCGTCTACAGCTTCAGACACTATATTCCCAGTGCACAGAGCTTTCCGGCTCTTTGACTCCCCCAAGAAAAAAGGGCTATCGCAGGGTGAACGGTAATTTCAGATCGCTCAAATGCGGTCGTTCCGTAGGGATCTACATGTACCGGCGAGGCGCAAACCCTCCGCTCGTAACCCGGAGGAGAGAAGCATCAATAAGCAGCACAGCACAGTGAGTGTGCGAAGATGAAGTTCTTCAACATTCAAGTAGTAATAACCAAGTCACCAAATCCAGAACCAAAGAAGAACGAAAAGGAAAGCGAAACAGTAAAAGAAAAAGAAGCACAACCCACACCCACAAGGACAAGAAACCGGAAGGCAGCGAGATTATAACTAACTAAGCAAAGCAAGTATAGTGGCAATTGGGTGATCACAATCGCCGGAGGTGGAGAGGGGATGGCATGGCGCTTGGGAAAGGAAATGGATGGACGACAAGCAAGCAAGCAAATTGCTTTGCTACTGCGGCGGGGGGAAATCAATCATACGTATTGTAGTTAGTTATTGGCCAGCGAGTTAAGCGTCTAAGCACAAGTTGCGCCGAACGAACCCCTAGCGCTGCACCCTTATGTGGCTCTGTTCACACGAGTGATGAATCCTGTTGGTCTGGCGGTCCTTCGGATCATCCTGTTGGGTCCCGAAGCACACACTTCCTCTTTGATTCTCATCACATTTTCGCCGGTCGGCTGGCGTCACATTGGATGGTTGCCGACGCACCATTCCATTCCATCCCCTGTCTTTTTTTCCCTTACTCTCCCCTCTTTCTTTCTCTCCTTCGTACGTAGTTCCGTGACAGTTGCCGATCACAACGCTCCTGGTTGGCTCGGTTGCCAACTGTTGCTAGTAGCTCAGTACTAAGTAGTTACCGGGGGTGAATGCGTATCCGCCTATTGTGATGGTAGTTTCCCTCCGGAGAGAATATCCAGCCGCTGGCAGTCATAGTTACTATCGTCTGTTAGCTAGCCTGCTGGCTAAGTATGTACTTATAGTCACTGCCAGCGCGACGAACTACTAGTAGTACTTTGTAAGCGGTTACATCCCCGTATGCACCAGTGATGCAGGCAGAGAGAGCATGGTGACCAACCGAGTTGCAGTGCATGCCATGCCGCTCGGGAAAAGGCGTAGCGATAACATGGCATGTACGCGGTAAGTTCTGGATCCGTAACGGCTTGGAGATATAGTATCATCCTGCATCTAGACTATGAAGTATTAGTTTGGCGCTGAGAGCTCAGCTGGATCCATAAGCGTTATGAACCTCCGGATAAACATTACATGGAATTAAGATGGTCGAGACAGGTTACCTGGATTACCCCTCATTCATTGACATAACGGTGAGTGAAACTAGTGTCCCTGCATCGGAGCAGCATATTGGTCACTTCCCATCATCACACAGAGTACAAAGTAGCTAATAGATTAGGAAGGATATCCTGGGTTCTCTCACACAGCATCACGTGATGCATGCTTACACAGCTGTAGTGCCTAAGGCTGCACTCACATGCCTTCAGGTCTCTGGTGTCTTGGCGCCAGGGCTGGATGCGACAGACTATTTCTACCACTACAGATGATCGTACTGCATTCTATGCAATAAGAGAAATGAAGTGGGCACGTAACAGACTAGGTCCCGTCAAAAGTTGATACTCTCAGAGAGAGTGGAACAGCAAGTGTAGTGCCATTGATGCACACTATCGTACCAAAAAGCACGATGAAAACAAATGCCAAGAAGCTCGATTCATCCGATTTCAATCGAACTCAGCATCTATGAATCCTAGTCTAGATGCATCTATAGCAAACGGATAAGTTGAGTTTAACCGTTTCAGATTTATGCAAAGGATTTTCCCTCCAACCCGTCAAAAGACATCAACCGGCGTGTAAGGAGCGCACTGGGCACTCTGTGGCGCAAGCCCCATCCATTCAATTCCCGGAACGAAAAAAAGAAAAGCTTAGGGTTGACCGCAAACTCCACTTGCAAGTATGTAACTCCACTACTCTATTTGGTCTGCTACTCCATACTACTCGGTATGTTCATTGCGAAGAATTATATTACCAGAACTGTGAGGATATGACACTTCTTTCACGGCTCTTAATGATAACTATGTTCCTTCGATAGAGACAACAATCTCGGATAATTCCCTTGATGAATGCAGATGCAACGGTGTGAAGAAACCGGTTGCTGACTGTTTCACAGACAAACAAGCAAGCGTAACAACAAAAAAGAAATGAAAAGAAAATATCGCAGCATGACTAGTAGTCAGATTTAAGCCTCCAGCAAATAGGAATAAAATATCTCAAACCAATAAAATGGCTTGGAAACACTCGGAGATATCCCCTAAAGTCATCAAACCTTGTCATCAGGAAGCTCCAGGATGGATTCCTCCCGTGGTCATCTGCAAGTTTCATAAACTCTGAATTCAGCCACAGGGTAACAGTTGGGCATTTTGGCAGATTCTTTCCCGCCTTTCGCACGGTTTAAAAAAAAAAAAAAATACTAGCATGGCAAGTAAGCACGGAAGAATGTCGATCAATCGGTCGATCAAGAACAAGATAGAAAGTTTGTTCCTTGGTAGAAAAGTTCCGCTACTTCTTAGGGTTCTATACTAGAGAAGTAACCTAATGAACTGCAGCAATTCACGATATTGAGTAGGCCTCTTCAGGAAACGTCTTCCAAAAGAAAAAAGGGTTTCGAATCGCAGGCAAGTCGCGATGGAGCAAATGCCTTCGAATTAGGTATCAGTGAGTCACCTTTCAAGCACAGTGTCTATATAAATGACTCGAAATCCCCCCGTTGTGTACTTGGTGATCAGGTCAACTCTAGCCAAGCACAAGAGTACTACTACACGTCTTTACTATTCCTACTTCAGTGAAATACGAGAACGACAAACAAAGCTGCAGAAACACCAGGATCAGGTCACAACATCCCGGCAAGATGTTCGATAGTTTCAGCGGACGGTATGCCGATCAGTTGAAGTTAATTACGGATGCTCTGGACCAAGCTGGAATCAACAACGTACTTTGGGGCTACGTCATTGAGCACTTCCTCGCAAAAAGTGTCTCGTCGGTAAGCACACTCCCCCGGTCTCTGACAATGGTCCCTGGTTTTCTTTTCTCTCTCTCTCTCTAACATAACCAATAGTGTATCGAATACATCATCCACGATGGCATGGCCGAAAAAGCATGCCAGACCCTTCTGGCTGCGGGGCTCGAGCCATGCGAAAACGGGGAAGAATGTCGGGCGAAGGCACATCATGAAGATGGGCCGGAGGCTGCAGCACATGTGCACATAGAAGGAAGCAACTTAGGGGGTAATAAAATACCTGTGATATTCTGGGAAAAGTCGTCTCTCCTTTGGGCGTTCCCCGAGTTACCATCGTCTCCTCCTTCGTCGGATGATCCGTACTACATGCCAATCAGGATCCCATGGACCTACTACGATAGTAGGTCGCAGCGTCCTCCAATAGATTTGACTCCTGCAAGAATTATCAAACCAGTCAAGATCGTTGAAGCCCTGATATGGCTGATGTGTCGGGACCGGAATCCTAATGAGGGATTGGAATGGGGGTGGGAGCATCGGTGGCAGGAGGTCTTGGAATCCTGGGTGCAGAAAGCTCCAGGTCTTGCTGAGCATGGGCTTTTCTGCCGGAACGAATTGCGACCCGATTTTCTGCCTCTTTGGGACTACCTCTGTGGTGGTGAAGGTGAACAGACCCCCAAGAAGCATCGTGCACACTATTTGGGGCTCCAAGCGAAGCTTCGTGCGGAAAATGCTCTTCCAAGCTCACTGCAACCAAAGAGAAGAACTATGAAGCGGCTAATGGAGATTATTGAATATCATAGGGAGAAGGAGTATCAGAAGTGCCTGAAACGTTACAGCGGCAATACCCCTTGGATTGAAGAAGAATAATTCCGAGGTGGTACTACTTACTACGAATGCATTCTGTACTTTGTTTCCCACTCCACGGCGTCTCCACAACCTATGTCACACCAGTCGTAATAAATCCTACGTATTAGCTATAAGACTTTATACCAAGTTCGGATGATTTGAACGTACTTTCATCGCGATGTAGATTTAGCTTCACCATGATAATTGTCATGAAACAGCTTTTCGGGTAGAGTTTCTCACACGGGGAAGTCGGAAAGGAAGCGGGGGGGGGGCGCTTCGTTGGCATTGGCGTCAGAACACAAATGCAAAGGTACTAGATAGTAGAAGGCATACCGAGGATTTCCACCACAGAAGGGCCGGAGCTGATATGTATAAGAAGGTGCCTGGTCGTCTTCTTCTCTTTTAGCGATTAAAAAGACCTCATCATCGAACAATGATGCCAAATGCAGGACAATACATTGCCTGGAGGCTATGGCCTCAGTGCAATCGCACCATAACAACCATTATTGTGCGCAGCAGACAACTTGATGATGTCAAGATAGTCGTAATTGGCCGGCAGTCCATCAGGCACAGTCTCCCGGCCTGGAAACCAGAGCATACAGTATGTATCCCTGACTGACTTATTCCATTCAAACCACCCATTCCTCACGAATCAAGCGATACCCCTTACACATTCAGAAACTCACTGACTCGTCCGATGAGCCGTACGAGGCCAACACGGTCTCTATGGCAGTGTCAGGGCAGGGGTCGATTCCCCGACTGATAGATGTCTTGCTCACCAGCCGCGTTTTCCTCCCAAGTGGCGCAAATCGCGTGTTATACAGAGACCCTTTCCGTGGACGCGAGATTTTTGTCGAGTTTGTCCCAACTCCCGAGGTGAGTGACTACGCTCTCCGGCTATTCATGAGCGCTGGATGACATTTTCTGTTTCTTTTCTTTCTTTTGGTACTATAGCTTTTGTATTTACCGGCCTCTGCCACAAGAGTCGCCGACTTAGGAAACAACGCATACAGTATCCCATGCTCATCTTTATTGAATGCGCTGATCGATTATTTCTGGCGCTCTTCCGACTGGTCGGCAACCACAGAATCAGATGATTTTCCGTATCGTCTGGCCGAAGAGATCTCAAACTTGTCGAATAACATCCCCCTGATAACCAATGCACAAAGACTTCTTGTGCGAATTGCACTGGCTCGCGCATATCATAGGAATTGGGGACGGAGTTTGAGATGGTGGAGAAGGAGAATCGGTTTCAGCTATTAGCTAGTGATATGGGCTGATGAGTATTTCTATTTTGTTTGGTAGCTTTCGTTCATTTTTGGATGGGCGGTAATTTGTGCAGAAGCGATGGATCTTTTGTTATTGAATTTGCTTGGTATAATTTGTTCGGCTGGAGTCTTGTTAGTGAAGGGAGCTACAAATTGATGTATTGAGTCTGTTAACTATTCATCTCGTTCAAGAATCCCACGTCCTCTGGGATGGCCTGTCCGACCGGAGGTGTTGGTTGTTTCGGTTCTGGTCTGCTGATGGGAATTTTACCAGTCACATTTTGCGGCATCATGGTTCTGCATTCTGTAAAAGTAAATTGCGAAGCCAAAGGTGAATTGATGAGTTGTCAGCTCTATGTCAGGGATGATCCTAGTAAATGGTAGATGGACGGAGGGGACGAGAGGGTGAAACAAGAACTTTCATTATGCTGTCGAATGGAAGGATGGACAACGATCACCTGACACCGCTGGCATTGTCCAATCCGTGCTGTGTTCAGTTCTTCGTGCAAGGGAATCAGGATGTGGTAGCGTCAATCTCAGATGTGACAGGAACACTCTTTGACCGGACTGGAGCAATGCGGCAAGTAGACAGCATCAAGTTAGTACTGATAGGGTACTACGATACACTAAGAGCTGTGAGTTAGATGGAATGAGTGGATGCGTGTTGAGAGAATGCCAGAATTCGAGCCTTTAGTACGCTGAAGAAAAGAAAGTATATAGTAGTTGACAAGAATACCGAACACTGTCTATCTAGTATGTACACAATATGACAGGCACCATTATATCTATGCACAGTATGCGATGAATGGGTTACAAGGACAAGCGCTGGCGCGAAAGCATTATAGAAGTATCGACAGTGGCACCATCAATAAAGTCATTCATGAGAACAATAGTCCTCTCGGCCCGAAGTCTATCCAGAGCATTCTTTCTAATCCAAGGCAAAGTTTGCATGTCAAGCATCCCCTTGGTCGACGTGAGACAAGAGCTAGCCGCTGCTGCAGAGAAGACGCTGTAGACAAGCACTTCCTTGATGGACTGGGAGGTCGCCTGGCACTGCAGGATGGTCAAGTCGGAGTCTGCCTGTCCCTCTGTAGTCATGGACTCAAAACGGTCGATTATCGAGTCGGCACTCAGTGTTGCGTATGCTTCAGCGGTCCAGCTATCGTACTTGTCGGCTTCGATGACAACAATCAGACGAGTCCCCGTGCGGCGCAAATCCTCAATCGGTTGTTCAAAGCACTCGCGTGTTCCCCATGTGAGAGGGCTACGCACAGCCCTGGCACACGCCTCGTTAAACAGGTCTGAGATCTCGTCTTCTGTGGGCCGCTGGCAGTCTGCCACGATGTTATCCCATCGGATATGAATTGTGACAATCTCCGTGGGATTCTCGTCGAGGAAGGCAACCTGCTCGCGGAGGAACTCGTCAAAGGCAATACCGGGGATGCACGCATGCTGGAAATAGAAAGTGTCTCGTAGGGCAGACACTTTCTGAAACATGGGAAGGAGCTTAGCTGGACGAAACTCAAAGTACCGTGCGCCCATGGCCAGCATAGTCGAGACGGTTTTCTTTTGGGTGATGGAGAGGCCGTATACGATATGAGGTAGCTTCTTCATGAGGAAGTGGTCCGGGACGTGATTGACGTGCTCGAGCAGAGGAACAAGCCGGCGAACGACTGCCAGCATGTCCGAATCGAGATGCTGAAAGATAGCCTCGCATGCCGTCATCCCATTCATTCCATTGTCGTGCGGCGCAGCCAGCACGAAGCGCGAGAAGGGCTGCTGTGCAGCAGGGGATCCTGGAGGAGCCACACTTCCCATCCACTCCCGATTTTCTCTGGAGCAGATGGTCACATAACACTGATGGCGATCGGTGAGACCAACCTCGCCGTGACCCGCGGCATAGAAGCCATAAGTGATGATGGCGTCCTCTGTCACGATCGGGTGGAAGTCCTGTGTCGCGACCATCGTGCCTCCCTCGATCTTTCCCGTTAGACTGTTAACGTCGTTATGTGCGCCAGCCACCCGTTCTCCATAGCGAAAGACGGTCCATTCGAAGCGACCTGTGAAGTTGCCGAGCCCCTGAATGTGCGACGAGTCGATCTCGAGCTGACGGCTGGTAAAGTTGTGGGCCGCATCATGGAGCACTTCCTGCTGGGGCACAGCAAAGCCGACCTCGTAGCCCGGGACGCCGATGTAACTGTATGCAGTGATGCCTTTGCTGGGCATAGTGAGTGGGCGGGTGGTGTTCTCCCGAAGGTGACTGAGGGATGCTCGCCTTGGCGCATTGCCTTTCTGCAACCTGTCCCACTTGGATCGGTACTATTGAACTACTAGCCATATTGGGAAGTTCCCTGTTCCCGGCACATCGTGGGATCATCAGATATGATGATATGCCAGGGTGTCAGAGGTATGATATGTCTCGTGATTATATAGCCTGCTAGTTGCCTCTTAATTTATCGTACCCATTGATTGGAGCGTTGCATATCTATGGCCCTGGGATCCTCATGTTGTTACTCCGATTTCTATTGCCCATGTAGACGGCGCCCCCGTGAATTACGCTATGCGGTTAGTCTTTTGCCCTTTATGGCTTAGCGCTCCAATACCTTTTCAAAAGCCCTGCCCTTTCGACCTCTTGTCAATAGATGTTCATAATCACAGCATCGTACCATAGGCCAATAGCGAAAATGCCGCACATGCCCCAGGCCTCATCTGGCAACCGATGCGGGACTGCGATTGTTAACTACACAGCCCTACGCGCATACCAAGCGGCGAACGACCTAGTCACAAGGACGACTGGTGTGGGCATGCAACACAATAGTCATCAAAGGAAGCAGGAATCGCAGACGATGAACTACAACTTGTGCTCATGGGTGTGAGAGGCGTGATGTCAGAACCCTTTTATATTACATGTGTTTTGTAAGACATACATACCGGCTGACGGGGCCGGCTGAAGTGCTGATCTCAGTGATCATATTTTGTCAGCCTCAGATGTGTCCTAAATTTAGTTAGTGACTTGATCAAATTTTTTGAAGGCATGCTGACTTGATTCAGACGAATCACTGAAGTTTTCCCGACACTACGCTTTCATGTAAATGCGAAGCAAATGACCTGCAAATCTCCATCGCCATTGCGATTCTCATTGCTCAATAAATCCGGAGTCTATCTCTTTCAACCAATGTGTCCCCTTCCGCTGGTAAACCTATACTATTGGGGATCTGTCGATTGGGATGGATGTGATCAATATCTTTGCTGCGCTCCTCGCTGATTCGGGGGTTGTGTACATAGCTCTGGGAGTATCAGAGAACCTAGTGTGGAATCTGGGGTTGCGCAGCGCAAATTAAGAGCGAAATCAAGAGAAGATGCTAATAAAATCTTGTTCCTTGGTTAGATCATTCGAATGAAACCGGGACGCCTGAAAGCCTGGGCACAAGACCCCTGAGATGGTCTTTGAGACCCACCAAGGGGGCTGCGGAAGTGCGGATGCCGATCTGTACTATCGGATGGCCACCCTCGGCAACCCGAGGGGGCCGGGCCGGCCCCGTGCACACCAAAGGGCACTGGACCTCCGGTGCCCCGGGGGCCCGTGGAGTAGACTCTCTTAACACCCCTTCATATATTAAGATTTAGATTTTGAATACGTATATTACAAACTAAAAGCATCAAGCATGCTAAGAGCGTCCGATGTTTATTACCTGCTAATGTATATCATGGTCACTTTTCAATCCCCCATTATGATCCATCTCAATCAACTGAACAAAACTGGTATTCGCATCGCGATTGTCAGTTCGAGTTTTCTTTTGGCTGCTTGGTAGTCCCATGCTGCTGGCCTCCTTTGTTGATCCGAACACAGAGGGGAATAGGCGACCGAGCAAGGATCGCAAAGCGCGTAGGCAGAGACACAAAATGCCCACATCGATTTCAATCACGGACCAGTAGCCGCCAGCAGCCATGTCCCCTGTTGCTAAATTGTTAGAGGATCTGGTGGATGGAAGAAAGGATGTTTGGGGATATTACATGTTGCGTTCGTGCTTGTTGCGAAGATCTTGAGCATTATAGCGCGGTATATGCCGACACCTGTGATTCTTTTTTTGATTAGTGTTAGTAGTTGAATGGTCCGTCGCCGAAGAAATGAAGGCGAAATAAAAGCAGGAACTCACAAGAACCCCACAGAGAACATGAATGTGACTTGGAGTTTGGTACTGACTGATGCCTGGAGCTTCATCACTTTGGGTATAGGGAGGGCAATAACCCAAGCGTCAAGTACGATATTCAATCCGGCGGCAGTAACCACTAAGGCGTTCGTCTTGACGCAAGAACCGTGGTGCTCTCCATCCCAGCTTGTCCAGTTATAGCTAATAGGCGTGCATTGAAACGCGAAGGCAAATATGAAACTTAAAGCGTAGCAAACGGAGATGATGCAGGATGCTTTGATAACGCGGCGCATTCGATCACTCGGGAAGATGCGAAGATAGAAGAGGAGGAAACAGATCTTGATGAGGGCGACACATGTGGCGTAGAGAATTTCTTGGATATGAAAAAGCTAATGGAATTGGTCAGCAGGTTATCAATTCCGCGTGTCAATTGGAAACTCGTACGTAGAGAATTCGAGTGATGTTTTTGAACTCGAGGGTCCAGATATCCTTTCCTAGGCCTGCTTTTCCAACTGAATTAGATTGTTAGTAATTTCATTACGTCAATGTGAGAATTGAGGTAACCTACGCAAAGTAGAACCGGAATTGACGGGAACCGCACAGCACTAGGAGAGTTAGATTTAAGGGTTTCGAACCTCAGAGAAGGAGGGTGCAATCTTACCGCGAGGAAAAATAGTTGCCCAGTCATCCAAGCCCATCTCTAACTTCGTGATCATAAGGCGTGTATATAATCTCAATGCGACGAAGAACAGAAAGCATAGACCAACTGCTGGAACCAGTATGCTGATAGAAGTGCGGTCTCGAACTGCAGCTCCTCATGTGGTATCTGTGACATTGAGCATAGCTGCAAAATTATGTTAGATCATGAGCGACTCACATCGTCATCTATAATCAGATAACCACTCACTGAGTCCCTCTTTGACAGTGCAATTTACCGAAACGCAGACGTTCATCTGCTCCTTAAGCTCGACATTTGTACATATACATGTTTAGTTGGCAAGGGTACAGGATGACTGGGGTACAAGCTCAAGCATGCAGTTTTCCTGTAGGCAGTGTCAGTATGATGTTCTGCGAAAGAACAACTCAATTCCTTACAGCGCATGCTGGTAAAGACTGGGCTCCGGCAGATGCCAAGTCAGCCAATAATAATACTACGCAGGCTGAGAATAGAACCCCAAGTCGTAGAATTCGCATTCTGCTGCAATTCTACACAGCTAATACTAAGTTCAAATCCAATCAAACATGTGGTAGGAAGGCTCAGACGATTAGCAGCGAAAAGGAAATCCGTGAGTGAAGATGCATGAGCTACAATGAGCCTGTTCGCTTGTTGGAGGGTCTAGTGATTAAGCTAAGCTTTAGGTCTGCCCCTTAAATGAAAGGAAATTTAGGGTGCTTGCCACGCCCAAGCTAACTAGTACAATGTCAGTTAAGTGAGCCATGAAGCATCGAGGCCTCCACCAGTCATTGATCCAGATGCCGCGGGATTTGACTCACGCGGGCCGTCAGAGGTTAAAGTTCTCTAGTCGGCCATCACTTATTGAAAGATATGACCAAGGGTGATTCAAAAGCTGAGAAAGGATGATAAACTTGTCTGAGCCAGCGGTAGAAAAGAATGGTTCATCGCCTCTGTTTCCAAGGCTCTGTTGCCTCCCAAACTGCTGGACAAAACGGACATATATTTAATCAAAATTTGTGTAAAACGTTACAACACGTTGAGAGTACAAGAATGAGCAATTTTCGTCCGCAGTTAGCTTCCGTTCAATCGGCTATTATTTTTAGTACAGTAAAATCATCACAAATTGCTGGTATTCCCCATTAATGTGCCAATCAGGCACCTCCTAAGCATCAATAATATTAACATTGGCCTCGCAGATCAGGCTTAGTATCTCCCTATTCCCACGACTCAGCAAAGGCAAAGGAACCATGAAGAAGCTCCGTAGTATGGAGGGAATTACCACACACTGTACTCGTTGGCCTTGACAAGTTTAACTGACAGAGGGCTCGATCGGGTATAAATTCATGGCGAGAAGATCATAGAGGGTATTCTGTGTGCCCCTGACGGGTACGGCCCGTTGCTAACCACTTTGCTTATCAATTATATAAACTTCTTTGAAGGATTCGCGCTAAGTAGAGGTTCTCTCTTATAGAGACACTGGCACAAGCTTTCTGCCACTTGGATATCAGACAATGCTTGTTTAGTTTCAACATGCACGGTAGCTAGTCTCAACTGGTCACTAGTTCACGGAGCAACGGGAGAACAAAGCCATCTTCATTGGCCTTGGTATACAAACTAAGCACACTATCTTGGAGCCAGGAAAACAGGTTCAATGAGTCTAGGTGTCTTTACCTTTTAGGCAATTCCAGCCCGTATCATATTCATACAACCCACTCACGGGGGAGAGCAAGGCCGAGAGTTAGCAGCAATGCAAGGTATTTGAGGAGCAAGACAGCAATCTGAAGGTCTTCCTAGTTATGTTTAGCAAATATCAGTCATCTTCATTGATCTTCTAACACAAAACCCTATATTTGTACAGAATCAGTCATAAGACTCGGGTCCGGCAAAATAGTCGTTTATAGATCACCAGTTACCCCAATTCACGATGCGACGGATTTGTCCATTCCTCAATTCATGATATAATACAACCCGGATGATGTAGATGTATCTAAAGCCGTTCATACTGATACATTTTCCAATGAAGCTCTCACATATGGTGGTCTTTGCTCTCAAGCTGCTCGTGCTGCTTGGGGCTTACAGAAGAGGCTGGGCCTACAACCTGGAAACACCTTACTTGCACTTGTTAACAATTCCGTAAGAGATCCATATGCGTCTATCTAGTATTCAGTCTGACTGGAATCACAGAATGCTTTTATTCTCCTTGCACATGCGACGTGGTGGACAGGTGCTATCTTTACATAAGTAGATTTCAGGTCGCATAATGGGGAACTAGGGTTAAGCTTCCGATAGGCCTTTGAATACAGCGGCAACGCACCAAAATATATCGCATGTTCTCCAGATCGTGCAACCTACACATGTAGTCACCATCGAGGAGAAGCTTAGCACAGTTCAGGATGCTTTGGCCTCTCTGTCATTGGCTGACATTAAGGTTTTGACTGTTCATTGCAAGGTGGGAAATCTGCCTCAGTTTCCGGAAGATATTACTGGCGAAGGATATTCGCAAACCCTTCCCCCATATGATCTCCAAGGAAAGAACTCCAAGGATGTCCCCAGTACTATCTGCTTTTCCTCTGGAACAACTGGAAAAATGAAGGGTGTGCAACTCTCTCACCACAACCTTGTCATGAACAGCATCATGATGCGTGCCTCCATGCCTGTCAGAGTAAATTCAACTATTTGCGAAGTCTTTTTCGCACCATGTAAATCTCCCTTCTTCATAATCTTGCTTTTCCAGATCTACTAATACATTCAAAACTTAGACTGTCATGTTTATGGTCTGACAATAGCGGTTTTGGCTAGCATGTGGGTCGGAGCCCATTATTACAGCCTCGCGGCTTTCGACTTAGAATCCTTTTGTCGCAAGTCAAGTGAGATAAAGATTACAGATCTTCATATTGTGCCCCCAGTAGCACTTGGCCTTGCTGCCTCACCCATCACTCAGAAGTATGACTTAGCCTCCTTGCAGCGAATTGTCATTTCTGCTGCCCCACTAAAGATAAAACCTTGAGCTTGATTTTTTAGACTGTATGTGATACTCACTGTATATTTTTGCTAGAAATCAGTGCAGCAACTTCTCAAAAAGCGTTTTCCACACACCAGCATCTGTCAAGGTAGGTGTTAATACTTCCTTGTTTCAATAATAGTCTGTTAACATCAAGATCAAGATTATGGACTTACAGAATGCTCCGGGGGAGTGATTCATGAAATCAATGAAGATGAGAAGGCCTTCAGGTATGTTGGCAAGTTATTTGTAGGAATGTAAGTTCTGTTGATTGACTCTCTCTAAGCAGCTATTCCTTTTGCTGATACAATAACAGGGAAGCTTATCTTATCGACCCAAAGATAAACAAGGATGTCTCTCTAGGTAAGAAAGATGAACTCTGGCTCCGCGGTCCAGTTGTTATGATGTATAAAACTCTGTCAACCATTCAAACTTATAAGCATGAACATGGTTAACCTTTCTACAGGGGCTATGTCAATAACAGTGAAGCAACAAAGCGCACTTTCTCCGATAATAGATGGATCAAATCAGGAGATATCTTGAAGCTGGACGAGAACCAGAACTTCTGGGTTACTGACCGTCTCAAAGAGGTAAGATTATCTCATATTTTCCCACAACGAAGATTTGAAGCTAAACCATAGCATTTAGATAATCAAATACAAAGGGTGGGTTACAAATTCCTTTTTGAAGTATCCAGCCCCTGGTTAACCACAATCTTTCTAGGTTCCAAATTGCACCTTCAGAGCTTGAAGACATGCTTCTGCATCATCCTAATGTGACCGACGCTGCGGTCTGTACAGTTTACAACAATGCACAAGCGACAGAAGTTCCCCTCGCATATGTGAGTCTCTCACCAGAGACGGCGGAGCTGCCAAGCTCTGAGAAACAGAAAGTCCTTGATAAAATCCGCTCCTGGATGGACAGCCAATTAGCAGGGTATAAGAAGCTCAGAGGAGATATATTCCATCTTCAGAGCTTGCCCAAAACACCAACTGGCAAGATTCTTAGAAGACTCTTACCAGCTAAGTTGAACGAGGCACAAGAGGCTAAGCTTTAGTTGCTTTATTCAGAGGTGCCTGTATCATGCTTCTACTTGAAGCAGCTTTTACTACCTTTTTGTTATCCGTTTTCAACTTGACACTCATGGGTGGTTGAGTCTTGACTCATTGAACAATCCCTATGGAACAGTAATAGTTGTTTAAATGTAAGCAATTGCAAAAAGGAATGTGCATGATTGAAAACTAAATCGCTAATTAGTATGCTTCATAGGGTAGAACAATAACATCTAAATATCTCATACTTGTTTATACTCACCTTAATTCCTGACCATTTATGCGTCTGGTTGATCCAGCAGTTTTGGAAGACAGAGCCCAGAGTCAGATTCTCATATCTTGTTTCTAATTCCAGCTTATTCATTTCGATTATTGTTTCTTCTTGAATTATCTTTGAACCTGTTTATCAGTCAGCCAACTATAGATCTCTGAGCCTGTAACTCTAGTGACCTACGGGGAATTGAATCCCTTGCACTTGGATTAATTGACCTTTTTTGGACCTAAAGGCGCAGGTGCATTCAAAAAGGGGGTGTATTGTTAATTGTTGTAAGCTTCCTTGCCTATTCTGAGCAAATTCTATATACACTAGTCTGTTATATAAATAGTTATAATATACTACTCCCTTTCTGTATCCGAGCGTCTCGTATGTAATGCCTCAGATAATAAAACCAAGCTACAGTAAATCTTTGCTTGTGAGATATCTTCAGAGTCCAATGAGAAGCTTACTAAACTAAATACAGGAATCTATACCAGCCTTTCTGCATGTATTTCTGAATATATAATAGCAAGGTAAGACCCCTCTGGTTACTATAACTGTAGACATCTGCTCAGTAGAGCTGTTTTTTATAGACTGTTCCCAATATATAGACCCGTATATCTAGCTATATAATCTGGTTTAAACTTACTGGAACTGTACTAGGCATTTGGTAAATTGGTTTAATTAACCGGCTGAAGGACATTATTCTGATCATATGCATAATTACTTTGGCGCGTCTCTGATCAAGAATAGATGTGAATAAGATGTGATCTACCACAAGCATATGTGAATGCATAATGGGGATAGAGGGCGGAGATGGCATTGTATCTGTCTTCTGTGGCTTGCAACCTTTTCTATGGGTGTGATCTAATGTTGTTTGATGTGAAGTGAGCTAGTATATTTAGATATACTACTCTGTAGCCAGGATTCTCGCTCTGCTTCAGATGACGAAGAGTCTTGTATAGTTATTATAGAAGGGGCTGTATGGATGTATCCCACAGTGGATTGATTGACTGAAAATCCTTGTTCTTGATCTAAAACCGACAGTTTCATAGGATGTTGAACTGGAGTAGTAGTAGTCTCATTCCACTGGCAGAATATTCTCTGATTATATATAGTACTAGTATGTGATAGTTCTGTGCTCATTTTCGACCATGAGTATCCTATAGCTTTGTACTTCCCAGCAAGTAACATTATTCAGTGAATATCGAGTCACCACCTCGAAATAGTATAAAAAGTCGTTCTGATAGAGTGAGTGCCAGATCTCCAAGCCCATGACATGCACTACCTTTATCAAGCCAGATCAGAGTCCATGAGGATATTCCAGTAAACACGGTTAGTTTGAGTTTATAAACTGAACGGATACTACTGAAGTATTATGAACGTATAATAGCTCAGATTAACTGGTGTGCTGCACGTCGCTAATACTCCTGAACCATCCCCACCTGACCAAGACTACATGAGAATTAGTATTGCTTGGCCAATGGCCAGATGATCTACTTATACAAATCAACTATCAAAACCAAGACTGGGCCCCTTCGCACTGCATTCTAATATTTGTTAGTAATGTTCTACTACTCAGGGGGTGGAATGAAAGTGCCGGAACACTGGTGCCTGCTGGGCAAGGCGAAGTATGCCAAGGAAGGAAGTCTCAAACCCGAGAGCTCCGAGTATTTATATATACTATGTTTGGCTAATTTGAGTCAGGCTCGGCATTGCTAGGCGGGGATGAACGGGGCGAGGCGACTTCTATTCGTTGGGTGTTCAGCCGTTAGAGAGAAGGATTACTAGTGAGTAGTTGACATGGATTAGTGTCGGTGTTCCTACTATTAGGTGGATGGAGCGCTATTTAGTTCCCCTATCGATTATCTTGTAGCATGTAAGGGTCTAGGGAAGCAGACTAGATATTCTCTTGTTGGTCTTTCAAGTCAAATCCAGACCAGAATATGTTATACTCGCACGAGTGCTCAGGCATAGTCAATGTCGAGATATTCGTACTACCCAAGTAACTGCCATAGCGTGTATCTTCGTCGCCGATTACGTGCTACTTTAAGGATATTTCACGCCGTGTTTCACACCGAAGCCTCGGAAGGCAGATAGCCAAACAACCATCACAAATTGCGCAATACTCGATGGTGGTTCACCGAGGTGCAGCTTGTCTTGGCTAGACGGCAGCCAGCACGGAATCACTAAAGGCATGATGGCTCGATTTGAGGAATGTCAGTTCCAGTTTCAACGGGACATAAAACCTGATCTGGTGACCCTGATGGAAATTCTTTTTCTGCCCTTGCCTAGAAAAAAAAACGGGATTGACGAGGATGATCACTAAAACCAAGCGATACACGTCATATTTGGCAGCAGTAGCGGATATATCTATCAAATTGTCCAAGGGGCATGAGGTAGGTAGATAGAAAGGATACTAGGGAGTCAAATAGGATTTCAGGGAGGGACAGAAGGTGGAGACCTATTACATAGTACTGATAGTGAGAAAATCAGGAAATAGTGTGGATTGTACGCAGCAGACTCGGTGAAAAAGGGAACACGGGAATTGCAAACAAGACCTAAATGAGGTTGTGAAGGACGGACAGGGATGGAGTTCACTTCACGGCTTAGGCTTTAAGGCACTGGAGGATCTGGCCGTTTGGGCGCCTTATCAATGGGGCAGGGAACGGTTGCCAATAACCAACAAGCCGATCACGTTGACCAACCATTGGTCCATCCCGCTGGAACGGGGTTATGCGGGAGTGGGCCTCTCCAATTGGGGGGAATTGATAAGTGCGGGAATGTTGTTCACTCCGTCGGTAGTTGGGATCTCTTGTGGATGCTATTGAAGACTACTACGTACTACTTTTTGACCACCGGTAGTATTGTCTCTCTCCCCCCTTCAGACAGGGTGTTCCCGGAGGTTCCTGAGGGTTTATCAAACCAAAACAATCATTTCCCCCCGTGCTTTGTTGATCAATCATCCGCCAATACAAACCAGCCGAATGGGTCAGATGCCACAAAGGAGGTCGTTATCTATCGAGCAGGTTATCTCGAGGTGTCTTATCGAGCGACCGTCTATCTCCGGAGTACGGAGTAAAATGCACTCTAATCTCTAGTAGTTCCCTCGGATCGGCCTAGAGGCCTCCATTAGTGGAATTCCCAGATCGCGGACCCCACCGGGGCACCAAAATCAATAGTACTAGCCTCGCCGCAATCAAGGACACTTCAGTGTGAATAGTCGCCTATGCAAGGTTGTCGAATCTTCGAACCTTCTAAGGGGAATTGGTCCTGTTTCCTCACTCGGAAAGAAAAGAAAAGAAAAAAAAAAAAAAGCAAAACCTCAACTCTTCGAGGTTACAGATCAACTTCGGGATTAGCTTTCAGATGCAAGCCACAGTTCCCAATTTGGGTTGACCCGTTCCGAGTTCTATTTCCACGGTCTCATATACACAATATTTGTTTGTCGGATCAATCCAAGTGTCTGTCGCTGCAATTGTTGAGCGAGGGAATTGGGAGAAACCTATCCAGCCAGCCATATTCCGTGCAGGGCGGTAGTCTGCATTCCGAGTTCCCCGAAGGCGCCTGTGGATGGTGATTTGTTCCGCGTCCACCGTGCTGTGCAAGGGATTCCTCCTAGAAGAGTGCGCAAGCACGTCACATGCGAACCAGTGTCAATAGTCGCCCATGTGCCAAGGGGGACTTTCCAGTCATTGGAATTGTCTGAACCTTTGACCTGGTCTGTACTGTACCATTTCTACTGGATCAATAAGGTGATTCAGTCAGAATGCTTCAGCACCGGATGTGGTATGCCGGACTATCAGACGCAGGGTGTTTCATCCACGGGACCATCGGGGCATGAGTTTGGGAATGACCTAGGTCACTTTTACTTCGAATCTGGTCAAGGAGGGAAGGATCCGATAAATGACCGGGGCTTCTCACCCTTTGGACGACGAGAAAGGCCATTGTCACTGTTGATTTTACGTATCAGTTACTCAGATCTGTAAGTCGCCATTGGCTCAAATAATGTTCTCATGGGGGTACTATGAACAACTCGGTGACTTGGGCTCGAACAGAGTTCCAGTGCCTTGGACTTGGCTTCGGGGAGGATCATCAGTGGCTGAGCGTTCTAGAAAGAGGGTTCTTTTTTGTGTGAAAGTCGGTACTAAATAGACAGATGGACAAACAGACTCCATATCTGGACTAGTGGTACAGCAAACATATTTGGGTGAGGCAGAACAAGAGTCCACTCTTCTACTACCTCCTGTAACCTACTATCTATCTATCTACTCCGTATCTATCTTAGTACTTCATAGCAATGGGTGAAAAAGGGAGGAAGATTTGACTTTCCCCAAATTTGCTCGAACGGGGGAGAGGCTCCACCCAAGGCGGTGACGAGGATCCGCGTCATTTCTTCCGCGGTGAGCCAAACTGCTTCTTCTTCCTTTAGTTCCTTCTTCTTCCCTTTCCACTAGAACCATCTTGCTGCCTGCTATTTGGGGGGGAAAAAAAGGACACTACTGCTGCTACTACTGCCGGTTGACGGAATGTAAGATACTTCCTGCTTACTTACTGAAGAAACTATTATTCTTTCCCCGAGAGTTTGTGCTCTCTCTTTTCTCTGTTCTTCTCCCTGCTTGGTTTCCCTCTGCTATACCCTATCAATTGCCGGGAATACTACGATCCTCACTGCCCACACCCCCAACCCAAAGCTACGCACTAGTACCGCTGCTCACCACGCACTAGTTCCAGCCTCCGTTCCCCGATCATCCTTACCAACCACGATAACACCTCGAATTTAACCTGTCTTGTCTAAGCCTTCTGGAGAGGTTCTCAGCTCCCCTGCTCTTTCCATCCCCCCCCCCCACGGCCCTGCAACTAATTCCCAGCCTGTAAGATGCCCTTGCCCCGGAACGTGGCTGATGTTCCCTGATCTTCTCGATTGTCCCGGTTTTCTGAGTTTCTCTTGCCAGTGACGCCAGATCCGCCTCTGCCCTTTTCCTATTTCCGCCTTCCTCGGTGAAACAACCACCCAACCCGTAACCTTCAGCCTAACAACGCTTCTTCCTTCTCGGCTCCTATCGACCCTGTTCTCCTTCCTGCAGCTCCGACCAATGTCCTCCCCATGTCAAGGCCTCCATCTGCGACTGAGAATACCTGTTCAGCACCCCTGGTGACACCTGCCGCGTCTGCCCAACATGATTGCTCCGACGGGCCTGAACTCCTTCACGACAAGCAGCAGCGCCACCACGACGCTCGGAGCCAGCTCATCCACGACGATGTCGTTCAGCAAGTTCCCTCCCCATCCCGCGCTGAATCCCCCACGGCTCGTCAATGGGCCACGCCTGTCTCGACCTTTACTCTAAAAAGGCCTACTACCGTCCCCGTGGAACGGCTCTCCCGCCCAGACCGATCGCATAGCCCTCAGCTGTCCGAGAGAGATAGCATTTTTGCAACCCATTACCTCCCTTCTGATACCGAATCCGCCGTCACACCGCAAATTGCGCCCGTGCAAGATGTGCACAATGAGCCGCCCGCTAGCCTGATACCTCCCCTCGAAGATGTTTCTTCCACTCCTTCTCCGATTTCCCCTCACAAGGTCCTCCCTCCCCGTCCTACTCACGTCGGCCCTTCCCACATGGAAGTTGACGTTCGCAGGAAGCATTCATTAGGCTCTCCCTCGTTGCTTCCATCGGCAGTCCCGCATTCTACCCCCCTCCTGCCGGTGGACTCTGATGCGACCTTGGGGAAGCGTTCCCAGTTGCCAAGACGGGGTTCGCATACATCAGTGTGGGAGAGCCTGCAACATCTTCGCAAGTTTGCGCCGGACGATGCTGCGACGAAGTCTGCCATTGCGGAGGATCCATCGCCTCATCGCAGTCTTCTTTCCGCTTCTCTAAACGATGCTTCCTTGGCGACGTCCCATGCCGCAACACGCTCTCCTACTAAAAAATCTCCGGCTACCAACATCGAAGTCATTTCTCAGCCATGGTCCGGGCAACAAATTCAGGACGGCGCGCGTGTGATGAAACCCGAGCGAAGCTCGAGTCGGGGCCGCCGGGCCAGAGTAGAGCAGTCTATCGAAGCAAATCTGGCCAATGCGGAGCCGACCTCTCATGTGCGCAGCCGCAAGTCAAGCCATTACTTGGGCCTGTTCAAAGAGAACACCACATCACCCGATCGTAAACGCAAGGAAGAGCGCGCGGGTCGACTCGATGAGCTGCCAGAACCACACGACAAGCAGCAATTGACGGCTCATTCAGAACCTCGCTACTCCGGCGAACGCCGTGACTCGAATTTGCATATCCCGCCCGTGTCTGAGGATACGGGGTTGACAGGTTCCAAGAGCCTTACACATCTTTCTATTGCTGACGCTCCCCTGTTCACGCCAGGCGCCGAAAGCGAAACTGGACCGCAGATGCCAACGGACAATGTGGTTAAATCCCAGCCTAGGGCCTTACCTCGCAGTTTGCTCGAGGAGATTCGCAACTTCCATCTTACTCCCGGGGGAGGTCATGGCACCTCGTTTTCACGGAGCATCCCAACCCAATATGCGGAGAGAAACCGAGATTACTTCTCCAAGGCACCCGAATTGCATGACCATGTCGAGTCACGTCTTTCTCCATCGGACGCGAGCAGAGAGCAACGCCGTGGTTCGGGGCAGTTCGAGGAAGAGGAAGATGAGCAAATTTCGTCTGCTGTCTATTTCCCACACGAGCGCGTCACTCTCTCTGAGGAAGTCGATCAGGTTCAACCTTTTACAGATGGCCAAGATAGCGTGGAACCCGTTGATGTCTCGACAGCGCAGAGTAGTCACGTTTTGGTGCCAAAGAGACAAGTCGTTCCTGAGGAGCAAGAAGCTAATCATGTGGACATATCCCTTCGATCTAAGAAAGATAGTAGAATCCTACACGGCGACCTGCAAGGCAGGCAGGATGCTCCCATAGACAAACTTAATGAAGAGTCTCTTCGTTCCATACCCGAGCGCCCTGCTGAATATTCAACAGAGTCCGAAGCCGCGTCTGCCGACGAGAGCGGCATGTCTGTTCGTGATGAAGAGTCCAGCGTGACGGATGAGGCTGAGGTGACGCCGACGGCCACCCCGACTCAGCGCTCCCGTCTGACCCGTCCGCGTCACAAGCATGAACCGGCTGGACCGCTTGGGGCTGTGGAGTTGAAGCCTTATCGCCATCAGGTTGGGGGTCATACAACCGTTTTTCGGTTTTCCCGTCGCGCTGTTTGCAAGCAACTCAACAACCGGGAAAACGAGTTTTATGAGCGCATCGAGCGCAGGCATCCTGAGATGCTGATGTTTCTGCCTAGGTACGTATGGCGGTGAAGCAGTTTGCCTGCAGGGCTGGTTCAATCAGATTTTGTCTAACTTGTCCTCCAGATACATTGGCGTTCTGAATGTCACCTTTTCAAAAACTCCCAAGCGATCCAAGACCCCAGCGAGCCACACGGAACGCCCTGATAGTAGCAATGCGATACATTCTACTAACAATGCGGACAATGATGGAGTGACAGCCGCAGATGCCCGCAGCCCTACAAAGAATGACGCCGAACCGCAACGCATCTTCAGCCAGAAGCAGGTGACCGGCATAATTCCCCAAGTCATTCTCGAGAACAATCGTCATATAATCCCAGCCGATCTTTTCTCCCGCGGCCAGCGCCCAAGGACTGCTGACGGATCCTTATCAACTAATAGGCGCTTCCCTGGGGATTTCGGGCAGTTGCGAGACGAAGAGGCTCAGAGCTGCCTTTTGGATGGGTCACAGACCCTGAAGAAAAAGCAATGGGGTGCCACCACTGTGAACAGGAAGCTGCAAGAGCAAGTTCTGCGTGAAGTCTTCAGTCCACCTGCCGTGCACCATCACCGTCGCCATGCTCGAGGCCATCTCAATTTACCGAGGACGTCATCAGATGGCATTGAAATCCGGCGGAGGGCCAATTTATCGGAAGACCATACGGCCAGCAGCCGCAGGACTATACCTGAAGAACCTGACTCCACACAGTCCGGGGCAATCGATATCAATAGGCAGACAAGTGACGGACCGGGTCTGTCATCTTCAGCATCGACAGCACTGGATGCGGGCCACAATCGTCTCGAGAAAGTGCGGACCGAAGAGTCTCCCCAACGTTCCAGCTCGTTATCCAGGACTCGGCAGGTGAGGCGGCGCCGATCTGGGAGCGGGTTGCAAAGACGAGGAAGCATGACTTCTGGGCAGCCGGGAGGCGATCTGCTGTTTTTTGATGATGAAGGTTACGGGGGTGATAAGGAAGATGGGATATTCTCAATGGAGGGCGATAATCCGGCCCCTTCACCATCCCATCCTGCCACGAATTCTTCAATCCCAGTAGCCCCCAAAGTTCCAGGAGCGGACTCTGTGCAGCTTGATGGCCGCGTGGGTAACAATGTCCTCTCCCGGTCTCCAGTCCGACCCAGCACCAATAATGTCGATGATGCGCAACTTCCTTCTAACCCCAAAGAGGCCCAGACCAGGAAAGACGATCGAGTGCAATTCTTTCTCTTGCTGGAAGATCTTACTGCGGGCATGAACAAACCATGTGTTTTGGACCTCAAGATGGGGACTCGCCAGTATGGAATCGAGGCCAATGAGAAGAAACGCAAGTCACAGAGACGCAAGTGCCAGTCAACGACGTCCCAGCAATTAGGCGTTCGTCTATGCGGCATGCAATCGTGGAATGTTAAAAAGCAAGAGTACTCCTTTGAAGACAAATACTTTGGACGAGACTTGAAATCGGGGCGCGAATTCCAGGATGCTCTTACTCGCTTTCTCTACGATGGTGCAAGTTACAGAAGTGTGGCGAAAAAGATACCCGCCATTCTCGAAAAGCTGGCCAAGCTGGAAAACATGATTCGGAAGCTCAAGCGCTATCGCTTGTATGCCAGCAGTCTTCTGATTCTTTACGATGGAGACCCCCATAATCTCGACAAATCATCTCAAAACAATGGCCCCTCCGGGTCGGCCAATATGCGAGACACTCTACAACGCCAGGTTTCAGATGATGGGTACTCGGACGTGCAGTTGAAGATAGTTGATTTCGCTAATTGCGTTACGGGCGAGGATGAAATATCGCCTGATGCTCCCTGCCCTCCACAGCATCCAGATGATATTGATCGTGGCTATCTTCGGGGCCTACGAACCCTTAGGATGTACTTCCAGCGCATCTTGAAACAGATCACCGAAGATGATTACGTTGAAAGAGGTGAAGGGGAAGCGATTGCGCTTGGCTCCCAGCACGCCAGCCGCGATGATTCATCTCAGCGCTATTGGGACGAAAATGTACTGGAGACTGACCCTGGCGAGGTTAGCTTCTAGATCCGGGTTCCTTCAATCTCTGACGGTCGGAACTCAGTGCGCCTTTGTATTCTGCTTTATCCCTGCCTTCACTCCTTTTCGATCCTCGGGCTTTCGAGCCGGAGGGACCGGGGTTGCTTTGTCCCTAATGTCCACATGGCAAGTTCTTCTTGCATTCACGGGATGTGGCATCAAACTTGCATACCAACCAAACACAGCTGGCTTTGGCCCTTCCCATCTCGCGGTGCCATCGCTATACCCACGCTGAATAATTTTAACCGATTACGATGACGGGGGTAGATGGGTGACATTACAACTTGTTTTTCGGCAACATACATTACGATATTGACGAACGATCATGGCATGATGCTCACCACAGACACCTTACTATCCGTGCCGGGCGCATAATAGAAGGTCTCTGCTTGGGGGCCACTACATTCTCATGGCGTGTATGAAACTGATTTTCTTTTTTTTTTTTAAATTGGCCTGATCCCCGCAAGGGTGCGCCGGTATTGCTTCCTTCAAGCTTTTTATTCTTTCTCGGACATGTGTTACTGATTATACCTCCTGGGGACTGGTCCGATACCCGGGGACTTTTTAATCCGTGCTTTTCCCAGCTTCTTTCCACAGAGTGTTGTTCGGTAGTTGTGTTTGTGTGTACATACCTATAGGCGCTGAGCTTAGACCGGGGACAGGAGAATTGAATATCTATAATGATCAATAAGAGTTCAGCCGTAGACTGCAAAGTGACAAACCAGCATAACGATGCTATAGTGTATGCGTGCTGCCCAAGGCCTTCAGGCATCAAGCCACGTGATAGCGGCGATAAGCGGTGTGGTTATCGCCTCACGGCTTATTATCTAATCGCAGCTTGGCTCATCGCCTCGTCAGTCACTCAGTCAGCAGCCCATCTCCGCATTCCCTTCTCCTCACGCTTCTCAGGGGCTTGCTGGTTCCCAGTTTCGATGTCTGGGAGGTCCTATTTGATGTGTTGAAGGCCTATGGTACTTCTGTCTCTCCCTTATACTCGCGTTGATTCATCCCTCTGGTTTGCTGCCTTCTGATTTCCGTTTGCGGAGGACTAGTTTGCGGAGAACTCACAGGCAGGCCCATCTTGCCAGGCACACTGTTATCTTTCCCCTGGTCGGACCCGAAACACGTTACCCAGGCAGCTATTGCCCGCTTCATGCCCTCGAAGGATTTATAATCTGTGAAAAGTCGTCCTCATCCAGATCGCGCTATCACTATTCAAAAAGGGAGACACTATGACGCCATCCCGTGATAAGCAGGACCCAGCTATCGACAAGCGGGATTTTGATGCTCATCGCCCGTTGCTAGAGGATGCAGATGCTGAGGCGGATGAGCAGCAGCGAGGACACCTACGGTCACGGGCAGGGTCATGTTTATCGGCCACCAACAATGACGATGGTCTCCTGAATGATGTTGTCGACGAGATCTTAGAAAGGGATAGAAAGAAGATGGCCAAGGAAGTGGTGCGGGTTAGCAGTTTTGCTTGGGGAGTTATCAGCTGGTAAGATCTCTTGTGCGTGATGGGATGCGCTGATCGCATCCTCGTTGGACAACTGGCTAATTGGAATTGTGGTCATCAGTCTTGGAGCTGGTAGCATTACCGCATTCTCGCTATACGGACCCCTGTTACTCACTCGCCTCCACTACACTCAACTCCGTGTCAATGCAGTTGCGATCGCCGCAGAAGTCTCGATGTACCTACCTGTTCCGCTTTTTGGATATCTCTGCGATCGGTACAGCCCATCTCCGCTGGCTTTATTCTCTGGTTTCGTGTTTGGGGCTGGCTACCTTCTGGCTGCACTGGCCTTTAAGAGTGGACCGCCTCCTGATGCAGGTGGCGAGGGCTGGCCGTTTTGGGTGATGATCGTGGCTTTCATTGCCATTGGCGTTGCTACAAGTTGTATGTACTTGGCTGCGGTCGCAACATGTGCCAAGAACTTTGGCAGGGGTAAGCATAAGGGCATTATGCTTGCTGTTCCTATCGCGGGGTTTGGCCTTAGTGGCATGTGGCAGAGCCAGGTGGGAACGTACTTCCTGTGTGACCGACTTGAAGATGGTGCTCGTGGCGACGTCAACGTGTACAAATACTTCTTATTCCTCGCGATCCTGTTATTCTGCATTGGTGTGATTGGCACCTTTGCTCTGAGGATCGTGGATGAGAACGAAGAAAAGTACATCGACGAGGCAGTGGAGGAATTGGAGCGCAGTGGCCTTCTTGAAGAGAGCGAATTCTTCCGGCCCAGGAACGAAGTTAGGGCTGCTTATGGAACGTTTTCGCAGGCCGACGACGGCACCGGATCCGACGGTGACCAAACTTTGACACTCTCAGAAGAGGAGCGAGAAGCAGCAAGACTTGAGAAGGAAAGGGAGGAAGAAGAGCGTCGGAAGAAGAACTGGCTGCTGAACTATGAGACGAGGATCTTCCTCCAGGACAAGTCAATGTGGTGGCTTGCGATTGGCTTCTTCCTGGTCACTGGACCAGGCGAGGCATATATCAATAACGTAGGTTGCGTCCAATGTATCGTCTCGTCTCACGCTTACTGACTCGCTATCTAGCTGGGCACTATTGTCCAATCCCTGACTCCTGTATCAAATATTACAAACGCCCCATCGCCCGCAGGCCTACCATCAACCCATGTCAGCACCATCGCGCTGACCTCCACCATTGCCCGACTTCTCACCGGCTCGCTCTCCGATCTTTTCGCCCCGCCAGCAACCCATCTCTTCCCTGGTCCTTTAGAAAGTAGTCGCCCTGCCTCCATCACATCGGCGACCAACCGCACCACCTTCACCCGCCTTGCATTCCTTCTCCCCTCCGCCTTCCTTCTCTCCATCGGCTACCTCCTTCTCTCCTCCCCCATCCCCCTTCAATACCCCGCCTTTACCCACCTCACCACGGCCCTGATCGGTCTCGGCTACGGTAGCGCCTTCTCACTCGTTCCCATTATCATCTCTGTCGTCTGGGGCGTCGAGAACTTCGCCACCAACTGGGGTATCGTTGCAATGGTTCCAGCCGCTGGAGCAGCCGTCTGGGGATTGGTGTACTCGCAAGGATACCAGGACGCCATGGACGACGGAAACGGCACGAATGACGGCCAATGTCATGGCTGGAGGTGCTTTGGGTTCTGGGCCGTGGGATGTACGGTAAGCGTCTGGATAGCTATTGGGGCTTGGTTGATTGCGTGGAGGTATTGGAGACGGCGAGGCGTTGTTGTTTAACTGTTATAGAAACTGTCTTTCCCTCAAATTACCACGGTTTTGGGTATATTTGAAGCTGTGCTGGTGTTTCGCGTTATATTAGCCGCTCGCTGCATTTTCTTTCTCCTTTCTTTTTTTTTACGTGCCTCATTTGGAGCGGAGCAACTTATCCCCTAGAGGGTAGTATTGGTTTTCACATCCGCTAATTGATGGTCCATGCTGCTTATTGCTATTTTAGCCGGTGAAAGGGTCTCGGATCATTCGTTTTACCACACTATACCTTACTTACACGCGTCTATCGGGCTACTAGAATGTCGTTTTCATCATTTATTTATTTATTTATCTATACTATATATGCATTGCAGAGCATGCATGGCTTTGGGCTGAACCAATTCAATGATTATTACTATCAATCAGTAAATCACATGCATAATGCACTTTATTACGTCAAAGATCGCTTCATTCTTAAACTCTGTAGTAACGTAAATGTGAATATACTGGCTGACTGATCGTTATACAATAGGTTATGTGATCTATTGATCTAGGTATGATGAGATAATGCAAACCATTCAAAACATCAAGCAGTTGACAGAACAAGAAACATCCCTTTACAGAGGGAAGATATAGTATAGCAGCGATGTGGTGGCCAATTACCACTATCTATTTTAAACATGGATAATGCAGGGCTAGCTAGGTTAGTTATGTGGGTAGGTAGTAGGTATATATGGACATAGTGAAAAGGAAGCAGGTAATATAGCAACTCGAAGGGCTGTATGGATGCATGCGACTAAGTATCTCAACACTTATCTCTCCTTGAGAATAGGATATAGCAACAACATATTTGAGGTAATGGAGACAAGACAAGATGTATTGTATAATGGATGGATTATATAGTGATAGTAGTACCTTGTGATATAGTATACTCACTCACCATTGCCCTCACAGTGATGTCGGTATAGCAGAGACAAAAGAGAAGGTATGAAAAGAAAAGTTCCTTTCTATTATCTCAAGTGTCTCATAAAATATGCGTTCGTTCGATGCTCCCCTTGATACAATTAATGTAGTCTGCTAACTCTCCACCATGTCGTACGTGGCTGCAGACTTTGGTCAGTTTTGGGTTGCAACACGACCAAGCAGGGATTCTCTGGGGGTTAGAAAGTACGTACGCTTAAGACAATATATAACAGTTTTGCAAGACTGTTCTTGGTGGTGTTTTGTCTGTCATGCGGGTTTAATGATGCTGAAGTAACACGATAGGATGGTGTGGACACTGTTGACGTGGAATGGATGTGTGAGATAGTAGAGCTTGTCCTCCATGATCTCCCATATTGCCTGTTGGATGATCTTTCATACTTGATTATTGACGGGTACAGGCTCTCGATAGTGTATGTGGAAAGATGCATAGGATAGGAACTAGCATGCCCGGGTGAATGACGTGGGGTGTAGTGTCGATGGAATGGAAGGGTGAAGCTGAGAGTACATCAGGGGTCGTTCTCCTCAGATGGCCTCAGGCTTCTTCTCGTGACTGATTATACGGCAAAGCAGGGTTGTAGACTTTGCCCAGACTATACCTCGCAATTCTCGTTTGCGCCTTGCGTATAGCCTTTTCTCGTTTATTAGGGTTTTTGGTGGATTTAGGTCGGTGCATCTGGTCTGATAGGACGGAGAGGAAGCTTGGGTTAAGTTTAGAGATGGGGCAGCTTTGAAGTAATGCTCATAGGTGGTGTGGGCTTCATTGAGTCAGTCGAATCGAGGATGGTATATCGTCCATGGGTTGATCGATACTCTCCAGATCGTCTCCACATCAATTGGGAGTTCAATCCGGCGGGTTGCAAAGTTGTTGTCCGCACAAGACCTCCGGCAAACAGACAGCAGCTTATTAATTGTCAGTCTCCGCTTCCAGTCATTAACAGATTTCAGACGCAGCATATCCAATCAATGCCCTCGGAGGTCTGCCGATGTCCTGGAAATATCGCCTTTTTCTCTTTGTAATGCCAGTGCCTTTGATCTTGGCTTTCAGGGCATCACGTCTGTAGATTTCGATCATTTCACGACTGTCTTTCGGATCTCTTCTGACGTAGTTTTGCGACTTTTTCCATCACTTATAGCAGACACACTAGAAGAGATATGGAGAAGCCCTGTAGAAGCTCTTCCCACGGCTGGCTGTCTTCGTCGTCGTCATGAAATTGAATTGCACGGATCATCTCATCCATCCATCCAACGAGCGTATACACCGCATGGGCATTGACCACGAACAGACAGATTGGCTGTAGCTGGTCATGCTTTCGATGTATATTGCTTCAGTCATCCGTTGAGCCTTTTGAGCCAGGCCAATTGATAGCAAGTGAGCCCGTAATATCGCAGAATACCAACATTAAGAACGTGATGTTCAGTGGGTAAATGTGGTGTATCAGGCAGTTCTCTTCAGGATCCTCTTTATCCACGAGCATCGTCCTCGTTCACCGCATCACTCATGATTGTGGATTGGGTGCTCTAAGTGACAAGATTGTATCGCCAGTGTCCGTTTTCGAGCACGGCCCCTCTCGCACCAAAGCAAACTGTCGAACGAGTGGTGATGCAGTTTCTTTTCTGCGGGTTGTTCATACCGTGTGCAGTCCATTGTGACTGCAGTGGTCTTTCGATGGTATAGTAGCCCCATGATCCAATTCGATTCGGGCATCTCCGTATCCTACTCGCGGTGTGGTGCAGCTCATGTATATCCAGCCATCTATTAGCTTTGAGACAGAATAATTAGCAAGGATGGCCTCAATATAGGACAACGTAAGGAAGGACGTACTAACTCCACTCGATATACTTCCCAGTTCCCCAGCGCACCCCACATTCGGCACCATTCCACAAGAGGCACAATAAACCTGGTACTGGTGAGTATATCCCTTCTATCCAGCGGTTTGTGACTCTCTGCCCCTCACCACCATCATCATGATATGATAGGGTAATGTCCTTTATATGCGACTGTATAGACACATTAGGACCGAGTTCCACTACCAGGCGCATGGGGTTATTATTAAATCGTCTCTCATAGTTGACCGAATGGTTACATTCAATGCAGGTTCTCTGGCGCTGAGAATCAAATACCCGAGACAGCACTTCCTCCATACTCACGCCGTTCCGATCAGTCTCGAGCACAGGCGGTGCCAGAGTGGTCAAGCGGGTGCCATTCACAGTGGTTCTGCTATCCCTGGATGGCCCACAATCACAGCGTCCATAGAGTACACCCCATCACGTGTGGCAAATGGAACCACGACCAGAATCCATAAGAGACGGATTGCCACTGACTTCATCAGCAGTGGATTCCGAGTTTATCCCTTTGCGTGCAGAGCCGAATCGCCGTAATCCTCATACGGAATTTGACAGCCCCGTCATGTGACAGTCTCCACCCCATTGTTTTCAGGATGAACCCACGTCCATGAGCATATGTTCTTCGGGCTGGTCAATATAGACGAAGACAGAGAAAATAGTTGGTCTTTGTTCTCTCTAATGGGATTGTGAGGGGACATGGATGCAACTCAGTAGGAAGGTGAGGAGGCATTCTCAGAGGTCCATTGAGTAGGGTGACTCAGAAAGTAGAAGGAGTGACGCTGAAGGAATGAAGACGGTAGGTAGGAGTGAGAATGGAAGAAAAGAGGACTTGAAAACTGAGAGACACTATATATTGAGTATACTGGATTAGTATATAAGGTTAAAGAGATGAATATAGATGAAAGTGATGAAAAGGGGCACTGTGCAGATAGGAAGACGGTAGGAAAAAGATGAAGAGGAAGAGAGGGGAGGGAGGGATATAAGTAGTCGGAGGAGGATAATGCTGACAACATGTGACATGGAGGTATCTCGAGTACAAGATGCAGAGTGGTCCGGGATGAGGTGAAACGCGGGAAGTAAGAAGAGAGGTGGATTGGCTAGACCTCCCGTATCCAGAGGGTTATGTGGACTTGAGTTGTACAACCACCCAGGAATTATCATTCAACATTAGGTATCCATACAGATAGATAAAAAGTACAGTTCAGGCAGCAGCTGAAGTAGGTAGTGCTACAACAAACATTGCTGATACATCAAGTGACACTGTTACCAATTTGGAACTTTTCAGAAGTAATCATGGAGCGCAGTGGTGTTAGACCACCTTAACGCTTTACCCATTCGCTGTCCTCTTCCAGCCACGATTCAAAGCTTTTCAGACCAGGATGCGTCTTCCTTAGACCTTGAATATCAGCCCCATAGCCGTGATCGTAGAACCAGTTGAACATAATCCGCAGATCAGCGACCATCCACATCAATAAGTAACAAACCACCCGGTATGTGGTTGGCACCGTCTCCCCCGTCTTTGCCTTGAACTTCTTCTGCATTTGTTCAAATGTCAGGTCATCTCCGGCGAGAGAAATACACTGATTCTTGTAGTTTTGTGGCTCGAGGAGAGCCTTGGCTGCAAACACCCCGATATCGCTGACTGCAACACACTGCAGCGGTTTGCCCTGCAGGTAGGCATCCCAGGCCGTGGCAATCACCTTGCCTATGAAGCTGGGGACAAGGTTTTCGAAAAAGAACACCGGACGGAGGACAGTCCAGGTCATGGAACCATCCTTGGTTTGCTCAAACAGATGATGTTCGATGTGATGTTTGCTGATGAAATGAGGGATATTGGTTGGGTTATCGGTGGAGGCATCACCACCGCGATCGACGGAGCTGTAGACGAAGTGTCTGACGTCTTGCTTGATGGATTCATCAATCAAGGCTTTCCCTTGGATTTCTTCTTTGTCTACATTCTGACCTTTTGCCATAGGATTCTGTCTTGCGTTAATTAATCCTGCAAGTAGGTGAAAGTAAAGGTACATGGCTGAATACTACCTGAACACTAAAGACCCCAGAAATGGGCCGAGTGGCGAGTTTCTTCGCATTTTCGAAGATCTCGGATGGATGATCAAGGTCGCCCTGAACTAGCTTAATTTTGGGAGACTTGCTGGCAAGCTTCTGCGATGTTCCTGACTGCGGGTTGCGGGTCACGGCGAGGATCTCAACGTCTGCATCGCGCGCCAGCAGAGCATTGATGACCGCACCACCTTGGTTACCAGTGGCTCCAGTGATGAGTAGAGCGGTAGCCATGATTGCTAGGATGAATCAGAGTAATTATTCACAACGTTCAGTTATCCAGGGGTAGGATACTAGACAATAGCTGAAGACAGCATTCTATGGCGATGCGCATTAAGGCCGGTCGATCTCCCGAATCTGTCATGTTGAGGTCATTGGGTGGCCGCACCCGGAAATGCCTTGCGCACCTGACTAATAAGGCCACCAATAACTAATTACTAAGTAGAAAAGTCTGAATAATTGGCTGGTTGCAATGATCTGAGTCATGATAGGGTCACGCAGTTTCTTTTCCCTTCTTCTTCTTCTTCACCCATTCTTGGGTTCGACTGTGAACTACACAAAAGCCAGTCCAATCCGGCAATGAGAGCCAGTTACGCAAGGCTGCAGGAAAAACCGTAACATTACCATACCGCCCCACCTGCAAGACAGAACGAAAAAAAGAAGAAAAGAAAAGAAATTGAAAACGAAAATGAGAAAAAAAAAAAAAGAAGGTTGAGGGATATAATCATAGCCAGCAGCAATGATGCTAATGCCCAGACATTCAAACGCATCGAATTTTCAAGGCAAAAGTTGTACAGGGCTAGTCTAGAACCCACTAGTAAAGTAAGTACCTCAGCAGATCGACATGGAGAAGCCGCCAGCGTCCGAGGTTATAACGTAATACCCCGCAAAGAGGAGAGGAGATGTAGTGATCCATCTAGACCCCCTTTCTTGCCCCATCGACCCGTGACCTGCCCGCATTACACTAGTAACCAGGAGGAGCTTCCCTCATGGCAAGAACTCAACTAGTAATTAATTAATTATTGAAAGGCGGTCATATGAACCTAAAAGGTTTGATTTTCCCCGTGGCCGAGAAAAGTCTCTCTGACTGGTTGGTTGAAGTTGACCGGGTGGCTAAACCCGGTTGGGGATGACAAAGAGAAATGGGGAAGAAATCACGACACTCGCCTGAAATGGGTTACAGCTCCACCAGCCCAGGCTTCTCTCCACCGCAACTGCTGCAATTTGTTTCCACTTTGACCACTTCACCTTCCCCAAGAAGTGTGTGTGAGTAAGTAAAAGTAAGTATCACGAATGACTGATCCCGGCACCATCCCATCCAACCACCGCAGATGCCATTACGTACGGGAAATTCCCCCATTCCTCCCTTTCCCCCACAACATTACGTACCGCTCAACATCACGGTGTTAGTTGCTCGTTGTGCAACAAGCAAGGAGTTTCAGGGACATGGGGACTGCCTGTCTCGCTGCTTGGTCTTGGTCTTGGCTGGGGATCGGGCAAGAGGGAATGGTACTATACGGATGTTATTTTGCTAATCATGAATTCTCAAGGCCCTCTGCTTGGAACAGACGACTATTGCTGATCTATTATGGAAAATATGGCTTCACTATATACATGCAGTGAGACCAGTTCAAACTTTTATTTCACATGCTCGCTGTCTCCAGTGGCCTCTCGTGGGCAATTCAAACAAATGCTCTGGGGTCCGGGGTATTTTCGGGTCGCTGACAAGGGGAAGGACTCCATAAACGGGGCAAACTTTTCCTGAACCAAACGGCGTCTCCAATCTCCGGGACGCTCAATCTCCTCGCCCATATCACTGCGGTCGGATTGATACTCCTGGCTGTTCCTCCGACTTTGTGGGTAGACACCTCTCCGACTGGGCTTGTAGGGCATAGGTAAGGGTGACTTGGCCTTCTGCTGCTGCAAGCGTTTGCGAGACCGTTGCAGCTTATCAAGCCCTCGCGCAATCTCATCCTTGTTTTCCTTGAGAGCGTCACTGAACTGGAAGCCGAAGATTGGGTTCACGTGTTCAGGGTCGTCCTCAGGATAGGCGTAGTGGTAATTGTAGTCCCGCTGATGTCTATCCTCGCGCCGTATCTCCGCTTCAGTGCGAGGCCGCTGAGGAAGCAAGTGGATGAGATTGCATACATAGAGGGGGAAGTCGTTGGGCGAGAGGCGGAAAAATAAGCGCCCGGTATCGTTGGGATCAATGCGCGACTGGTCCCGTTGTCGAAGGGTATCACGGGCATGGTGGAAGCTGATGGGGTTGGGAGTGGCAGCCTTTTGATTCGGCTGTGCAGATGCCAGGGTCCCCGCCGAATACTCGAAGAATTGTCTGGGGTTCCTTTCCCCCTCGTAGATGACCAGTTGCATGCCCTTCAACTTTAACCGATCCAATTCTAGGAGTCCGCCATCCCAGAAGGTGTCCCTCCAGGTTTGCTCAGCATAGCGGAAGTGGACATCCACAGAAATCGTAGACAAGCCATGGAACGCCAGGCTGATCAAAGAAAGTGTTTCGTTCCATTCGGCCAGATGTGTCTCTACGCTCTGCACCAATGGAATCCGGATCTTGAGATGGGCTATGGAGGCCACCTGCCATGCTTTCAAGGAATAGGTGAAGTTGGCAAAGCTGCCAAGCTCTTGGGTAAAAAAGGTGGCTCGACTATAGGGGAAGTGTCTTGCCTCTTCGTATACCTGACGACAGGTGCGAAGGAAGCCGAGACTAAGCGCCGGATTCCTCTCCAGGGATTTGGGGCAAGGATAATGCCCGGAAGCTATGAGTGGACCATGGCCGACGTAGATGTCACGACTGACTGTTTGGCCTTGTTTTGTTTGACAACCCGGATGTGAACAGAAGCCATCCCAGCTATTTCGATTCGTCTGGTCGGCCATGAACTGTCGCCGGGCTTTGTACCAGCATTTGTCGACCGGACACCAGACGGGAATGGGCCTGCGTTGGATTTCACAGACATCGTTATCGTCAAACACCGCCTTATAGATTAGAATCCGGATCTCCGCCGGTAATGATAAGAGGTGTCGCTTGGGGCTGTAAGACAGTCAGCAACAACAAGATAAGAAGAGTTGTTGGGAGAAAGTCCCAGGGGATAGCAATGAGCATACCGATTTGGTTCCATGGCTCATTCACAGTATGTTGAAAGTCACGACGAGAAAGGTACGAAGGTTACTATATCCTCTGGGCAGATAAGTAGGGACGGGAAGGTGTCTTGAGATAGTAATGATATGATAGTATAGTATATACTACAAGCTAAAGCTACCCAGGCCAGGGGCAGAGTATTAAATAGATTGGAAAGAATAACACAAACCAGCGGTCAAAAAGAAAGAATCCATTTGGCACAGTGAATGCCCTGAATGAGTTGCAGGAACCAGGCATTATTTATACAATTTCTGACATAATGGAATTGATCTTTTTGGGGAAGTAAGAAAGAGCAGAAAATGACGCGATGATCCCATTGTTGCAGCAACTCGGGACTGGAACTCCAAAGGCGGTGGGTATTTTTGGTATCCACCCCCGCTTCCATACTAGTACTAGTACGTACTGAAATTACTAAAAGTAGCCCAATTCATTCCTTCCCTCCGGGAGTGCGCCATAATTAGTTGATCGTCCCAACGCCAATCTAACACCAATCACGCTGAACCCTAAATGCACACTAACCCCGTAGCTCGTGCACCACCAGTCGCACTATCGTTCGAACTACCATGCGTGGTCGCTATCTCAGCCTTTCTCTCAAACAGGGGTCAACGGTTAGCTTGCTGCTCAGCCTCGTCGCTGGTAGAGAGGGTGTAGTGAACAGCCACAATGGCCTCCCTCCATCTCAAGATAAGGACCATGGACAATGAGGTATAAAGGCGTCATCTAGAACGTCTGGCGGATGGAATCAATAGACTTTTACTTCTAAGCTTTCAACTCATCTTATATATTTGCTAGAGAATTTTGTTCTTTGCGCTGCTTGTGTCCTACGTACTTGGACCGCAACCACTGAGCAAGCGCTTCCCTTTTAGTTGTCTACTGCATACCCAGCCTGCCCTTGCTGCCCATCCGCCACACGACATAATGACACACCATCTCTCCGACATTCTCGGAATCTACCCAGAAAGCCAATCCTGTGTTGGCTGGGCGCCCTCACAGGGCCGTCACTGCCGCAACCCCACAAACGCCAGAAACCGCCGACATGCAGTTTCCCTTCTCGACCAAGGGACCCGCTTGCTCAAAGCCGGCCGGTCTATTGATCATATACTTGAGGAATTGGCTCCTCTCGTCCTCTGCCTACGTTATCACCAGAACCAAGCTGCTGGCCTAACTAGTACTTGGGTCTCTCGAGTCGATAAATACATCGCTAGTCATCAATCTCCCAGGAGCTCGCCGAGTAGATCGATGCCTCGGCGGTCACCGTCACCAAGGATGCGTGATGAAACAAGAGCCATAGAAAATAGACTTGCGGAACTCGAAAGGAAGATGCAGGATGCAATACTTAAGGCAGAGCGAGCGGAGCGGGAGAAAGAGCGGGCGAGGAGAGACGCAGAGCGCACTAGACGAGACACTGAAGACATGGTCAGAAGAAGTGCGGCTATGGGATATGCCCGAGGACAGGAAGAAGCGAGAAGGAGAGCCTCTCCTCCTCCTACTTTTGAAACTGAGACTACTACGGTGGAACACAATGAGGCATACGGGTTCCAGAGGGACTCGGTGTCGAGTGGCTTGCTGTCTTCACGCAGGCAGGATGCTCGTGGAGGGAGTATCGAAACGACCTTGCAGGTCAACACTTCTACTGGCATGAACGTGCAACTACGCAGAAGCACGATCGTTAGCACAACCAGGGTCCAGAGGACAAGCGATGGCCCAGCTACTCCTGCTCAAGCTGAACGACGTGCTGCTACCCCGAGCTCTGTGTCCAGGGTAGTTGAGATCGGTGATACTAGCGATGTGCTAGCTATTCCATCCCCTGCCCAGCAAAGCAACGGCAATGCAAGCTCCAGTCCCAGCACTACGAGCACTAGGAGAGCAATTAGCCTTCCCAGCGCTGAAACTGAGTCTGCCAATACCACAACTACACCAAACAGTGAAGACCGTCCTTCATCCACAGCCACTCAAGACCCTGAATCCACCAATCCCACGGGAATTTCAGAAACTTCCATTCCAAACCCTCCACTCCCAAGTCCTCCTACCTCAAACAACGAAGAGTTTCGCTCTACTCCCACAGGCACGCAGGAATCATCCACCACTACGCAAAACACTATCACCCCAGAACCCACCACCCAGCCTGCCCCTACCTCTACCTCCACCTCTACACACCCCTCAACCCCCGCTCCCTCCACTCCACCTACAATTTCAGAACATGGCATCACCCGCCACCCCATCGAAGGCGACTGCTGCATCTGCCTCTGCCCTCTACAGAGATACCCTACCCAATACAGCCATAACCCTGAGGACGACACCTCTATCGTCTGGTGCCAGAAGCAATGCGGAAATAACTTCCACCGCGAGTGTATGGACCGGTGGATAGCTTCAGCGCTTGACTGTGATCGGCAGACGAGTTGTCCGATGTGTCGGGGGAAGTGGCAGTGATCTTTCTTTTCTCTTGAGTCGTGATTTTATTGTTTGGTTGTTTGTGAGTTGTTGGGGTTGGAGTTTGGGATATATTTCTGTTGGTTATTGCATGAGTCATGATTTATGATGTTATGAGTTGATTTGATGTGATGTGATGTGATGTGATATCCTTGGTTATCTTTCGCTTGGGTGCTGGTGTTGGTGTTGGTGGGTAATACAATATCTTAATGTCTACTAGCTCGTTGATACTATTTATTATAATACTTAGGAGTTGCATTTTATTTTCATGCAGTGTGCGTGGTAGTATGGGTTCTAAGCTCGTAGGCTATAGATAAAGACTGTATTCCTTCAGTTTACCTGTTCGTTCATAATCACTGCTTACTTGCGTAGTGTGTCTATTAGTCTACGGATTACAATGGAGCAGAATAGGAGTTTGAATTTGATAGATTGAATGTCCATTTGCAATAACCATAACCAAAACTGACACTTCATAATAATTAGACTGTCAGATATTATCGAACCCTTTGAACTAATAACTCAAGGTGAAACACCAAATCACATTCTTAGGCTGTCACTCAGCCTGTCACTGATATCATCGCCATCACTCTCGCATGGAAACCCGAAAGATAATCGATTAGCAGTGAAACAGAACGCATGCATCCATGGGTATTTTTGTGTATATATAATATAAATCAGACCAACAACAAGACCGAAATATGAACTTGGTAATTGCTGATATCATCGAACCCCCATATACTGCCATCGATGGGGTATTACCATCGCTCATCGTACGCAGGAGTCATACCGGATACGGCACCCCAGTACTGTCTTGAATAGCTTCTGTTATAACTTTCAGGATATTGCGACGGTGGGGACTGAAGGACTGTATTTAGAACATCGTGGCGCGGCAACCTGTACTCGCGGCGGAAAGGGATGCCCGACGTGTCCACCGGGTTATACTGCGAATATTCTGTCCGATGAGACTTGCGCGGTGCGGATGGTGGAGAATAGCGTTGGGGGATGATCAGATGAGAAGGGGTGCAAGGAAGCAGCGTCGAATACCATTGCTGGTTGGGCGGAGTTGTGGCACCGTTCGATCGGTAAACAGGTGCAGCCTCGCCCTGAATCCCTGCCTTGGTTAATCGGGGGGTTGCCTTGAGATAGCCTGGTTGTTGACTAGGTGGTGGGCTATTCAAGTCGGATACACGCAATGGGGCTTCTTTTGGTCGTGGGGCCCGATGTGGTGAGCTGAAAGGAGAGCCAAGGGGACGGGGAGATTGCACCTGGTCAGTCTCTGTGTCCGAATCACTCGCATACCATGATTGGTTCGCAACAGGTATATCCCCGTAGCTCCCTGACTCTGGACTGCGAATAGGGGTGGAAGGCGGGCGACGAGCACGAAGTTGTTCGTTTGATTTCTTCAGGAAATCTTCATATCCTTCCAGCGTTTCCATCATGCTGATCGGTGGATAGATCTCCGATTCACTACTAGCCAGATCCCTCATCTTCAGAGTTTGGCTGGCAGACATCGGTTTCGGTGCCGGGGTAGGGGTCCCCAGTCGTGGCGGTTGGTTCACATGCACGAAGTTGTCACAACCATCGGGTGGTGTGTTCTTCTCATTCAGGCACATCTCCATATAGCTGTGCACAATTGGGACACCTGCGTTTTGACCCTCCAAAACGACATATTCAGAATCGGAGCAGTCTGAACAGTTGGTGTCCACCTTGGCAAGTTTGCCCTCACATGGACGACACTGGTAAAAGGGACCTTTCGGCAGAAGGTCATGGACAGTGGTGACCTTGTGGTCAGGAGGGTTCTTGGTGCCCTCGCGCATTGCATTCATCATATCAACACAGATGTCAAGGCTGAAGTTTGCAATATGGCCACAGTCAGGGTTGTTGTGGAAGGTATATTGGCACATAATGTTTGCTTGGGTTCTGAGGCGGATTTGGCCTTTGTAGGATGCGTTGGAGGATTTGGAGCAATTGTGAACGTCTCAAGCCGTTGCACACATAGGGATTTCAAGGAGGCTTATATGTGTGCGATACGTAGGAGGAGACAAAGTAAGAGAGTAATACCATTGCGTTCTTGTAGAGATTCCGATCATAAGCCATAACGCTGTCGGAATTTGGAGCTAGTCGATACGGCATGTTTCCCTCTTGATCGTTCACATTGATGGGACAAATCGAGTATCAATCATCCTCCAATTCTGCATCCAAGTCCGTCAGATATTTGACTCCGGAATCTAACAGCCACCATGCGGCCAGTTCATGAAAGAACCGAAGCACTGGGTTTTCAAGTGGCATTGTGGCGCGCTCTGTTTCATCCGCCTTTGTCCACATCGCAGTTTCACTGGCGAAAACAACGTCCTTGTCCTCATCCCAGAACCGGATCACCAATCGCCCATCCACCCCTTTGTAAGTCATTCCGAACTCGACTTTGTTCGCGGTTCGGTCTAGGACACGGTAGATTCCGCAGATAACATCGCCCTTGTTGAAATCCAGCGAGTCAATATGTGACGTATGGAACGTTGGGCGTTTTGTGGCTGGACTGATCAGCCACAGCATATAGCACTGAGGGAAGTGTGCGAAAGCTGTCATGTTGCGACGCAAGAGAATGGTCAGGATTTCAGCGTCTTTCTGGCGAGGAAGCAGCTGGCGAGGCACCCGGCGGTTAGCTCGATCGTGGAGAGCATAGTAATCTGGTGTGTAAACTTCGGAGGGAATCGTGGATATGGTGGAAGAAACCGATTTGGAGAGTGTACCGCAATGCGTCTCATGGTGGATTCGGTTTTTGAGACAACGGTGGAGGAAAGTCAAATATGTGATGGTGCTGAGGGAAGCAGCGAGCACAAAGGATGAAACAGAGAGGAAGGAGGGCATTTTAATTAAATGGTGAGCGCTTAAGGCTCCTTCCGTGCGACCAGCGGCAGATTATTATTATGGGAAAATGCTAAGTAGTTTGAAGTTACAGAAACATGCATCTGACATAATTTTGCGACCTTCAAGTGCATCAGTCAATCTTTTAAGAGAAGACCGGAGCTTCCCTATGAACCTTATTCTGTGCTGATGACGATCAACCCGAATACGAGATCCGTTGCCATCTGGACCACTTGCAGTCCCATCATTGGCGCAACTGCTGGTCTCATGCGGATGTGGCCCATCCAAGCCGTGGCAGCTCTTTCATAGTAAGTAGTACTCTAGGTGATTCAGTCAAATCTGTCCCCAGCAATGTACCAGCTAGTTCTTTTGAGATCACCATGCAAAAGTCTAGGTGTTGAAATATCATCCAGTTGGGATAATATAATTGGCAAAATTAAAAAAGTATGTATTCAGTATATCCTTTCCTCCCATCCAACTAAAACTCTGTACCCTTATGCCAACACAGTCCAAGCAATCCATTAAATCAACGCAATCCGTCAGCGCCCAGATCCACCAAAAGCAAGAGCGGGTATCCTTGACGGACGGACAAAAGGCACACAAAGATAAGGAGAACGTGCGTATCGATCGTTGCAGCGACGTAGCCAGCCCGAAATCGTATCCTTTTTCATCCTTCCATCCTTCTTTCTCCAATACTCTCGTATCACAGCATCATCGGTCGGATCAGTCACAGGTTCAAGCTTCGACCTCATATGACTGTTTAGCTGCTTTCCGTGCCATGCATTTTCGGTAGATGAAGAGTGCGATGATTCCCACAGCAACGATGAAGACGATGCAGAAGACCAGGACCACACCCGGGTTCTCGCCGGCCCAGTTGCTTCGTTTGATCACTTGGTGTCGTGCTTCGAGGGCAAGGAGGTCGATAGCGGCCATGATCTACTTCCTATTAGCCTACCACACAGAATCAATCCCCTCAAAGCATGTGCAACTCACGAACAACGACCGCGCGGCTTCGGTGAACGGGGACTGATCAAGACAGATTGAGGATGCCCACGACCTGCGAGAACAACGGCACGGGAAGCAGAGATGATATGACACGAGGAGAATAAAGAGAAGGAAAGAGTTGGACGGGCGGATGAACAACCCTGGTTACTGGTAGGACTGGCTGCATCGGGAGCAGCGGAAGGTCATGACAGCAAGGATCGCAATGACGTGAAGGAGGGCACATGCATGCAACGCTGGATGGGCTGGTCCACGAAGCTTATTTCTGACAGGAGGGTAACTTGGTAAGCCGAACTCGGGACGCTCAAGGGTCAATCAACACACAACAGCTCGAGGTGAAGCCATTCATGGCAGTCAATTGGCGCGGCAGCACTCCGGACAAGGAGGTGTGTAATCCCCCCACCTCCAGTTACACAGAAGCCATTCGCAACCGTCAATGCCCATTCCTGACGCTTCCTCTCACAATCTGCATGCCATATAACGCGTATCGCGATGGTTGACCATAAGGAACAGTCATGAAATCAATTGTGATCAAGGTTTGGCGATCCGCTCGTCCCGCTGGCGTCACCACTCTTTCACGGCCATGGTTCTCTACCACCGCCCGGCCTCCCGATTCGTGCCCGGCTGCAGTGGATGCAGGGTAAATGAGTCGTGGACAGGAGAATCGAGGATTCATCCATAAGCGAGAGCTCCAGCTTTGTTGATAGAAATTCTAGAGAACAGGCCCCTTCTCGTGTTCGCCGGAGGAACATCCTTGACGTCATATATCTGGTCCGCGCTCTTATCTAATCGGCCCCTTCCCAGCATTGCTGATGCAACGAGACATGGATTTACTATTCGCTGGACTCGGAAGAGCTTGGGAGAGCCAAAGAATCCTTCCGGAATCAATGTCCTTGGACGCCAGAAGATTATACTGTAGAAAAGATCCAGGGTCCAGCCATTAGGGCTGAAATAAACGGTCCCACTTGGGTCCAGTTCTCGTAATGCGGCCTGTTATCATGGCTGATTAACGGGCCCGCAGAAGATGATCAGCAGTTCGAGATATTAACTGAGAGCTTGCGACCGCCTCAAGAATTGCCCAATCGGGTACTTGTCCTTCAGCCATAGAGATCCCGGTTCTAAATGTCCAGTTCATTCTGCCACATGCGAGTATGCGCAGAGGTACTAAAGTAAGTAGTGTAAGTGCTTGGACAATGTCCCTTCGGTCATGTGAAGCTCGCAAAACCAACTAAGTTTAGAGCTTAAGGCAGAAGCGTGAGCTTGAGAATGACGTAGAGGTTGGAGTCCATCTGATAACTTATGTTAGAGTGCAAATTTCCCATAGTTTAAGCATCAAACATTCATGCCTATACGCAGACAATAGAAAGGTAAACGTTTCCCAATTATCGCAATTAATATCCAAGGGTATGGTAATAGACTCATAGTGGTATCACATGAAACAGGCAAAAAGAAGGCATAGGCAACAGCATAATAAACCCCCATTACTTCTTCGAGTCAGGCCGATGCACATCCGTCCGTCCACTGTTATGCCATGTAGCCAACAAGGCACCACAACTTCCACAGTAATGGCACTGGTCCTTCAACGACGACATCATATATGGAATACATCCCAGACACAGGCAGCAGCAGAGCACTGCGGCCCAAGCACTATGGACATATTATTAGTTCGATCCATTCTTGTGAAAAAAACCGGGCACATACTGAGTTGAACTGCCCGTTTCGGCCTCCACGCGAGTCATTTTCCGCTCTCCGCAGGCCGGACAGTCGACAGGTGCTGGCGTTTTCTGCAGTGCATACAGTGGAGTCGGAGTATTATAGCCGCTCGGGTGTTGAGAGCCTGCGTAGAAGGTCTGCTGGGGCTGATGGGGTTGGATCTCAGGCGTCTGTTCGGTGGGAGGTTGCGCAGATTCAGGCAGCTCTCTGGAGGGAAGCTCGTGGGTTTCGATTTGTTGTTCCGAGGAGGTAGGAACTGCTGCTGGTAAAGTTAGTGGAGTACACGATGCACTTCCTTCTTAGGGTGAACGCACGAGGGTTTGCGTTCTCGGCCATTGTAATAGGTACGGTTGAGTTATATCAAAATAATCTGTTTGAAAAGAAAAAAAAAAAAAAAAAAAAAAACTTTCGCTGAAGTGTAGCTTGGAAGGAACAAATTACCTTAGATATTTGTAACCCCGGGCGCATTCTTATATGGTTGTACTAATAAGATTGGAGGCTCAAAGCCTCGTCCGAGCCAACGCGTAGGATTATTCGTGGGACGCATCGCGAGCCACTTGGATGAGAAAAAAAATTTTATTTGCTTGTGCTCCGGTGACCTCTGGGATGAGACACACATCGATCAATCGTTTGTGGGAGGGAGATCCAAGCGATTGGCAGGGGAAATGAAGTGGCCGTTGGGCTCCCACGACGAGGCTGAGATTACGCCTAATTACTAGGCAAACATTGGTCTGGGGAAAGGCTCTCACGCGAGTGGTTCAGGTAGGGGCGGGTTGCTAGGATTTCCAGGGCAGTGCCTTCTTGATCTGCAAGTGTACAGGGTAGCCTTGTGAGTTGTGGCAGGGAAAGGCTGAAAATACGAGGGGCGCTGCCACGGCCAAGATTGTACCAAACTGAGTCCCAAGAATGACGGGCGCTCATCCTTCAATTTAGTTTGAACTTCTGAAACTTGGCGAGGTCATGAGTTGGTCGACTGGAATGCTTTGACGTACTAGCTTCCTCCGATTTTACCCTGTGATGTCTTTGATGGTTTTGAAAAGTTGGATAACCTCATCAGTGGTATGATTCTCGGTTTTGCTTTCCGTTTGCTGGTGTTTGCTTCGATATCATCCACATATCTGACTTGGGGGCCATTTGTTGGGGTTTGAACAAAAGAAAGCTCCACCTACAACGTAGCAGTGAATGAGAATGAGACAGCACAAGCTAGGATAGTTCCTGCCATTACTCATCGGAAGTTTATTCCTTGCGATCGACACTTGCCTTCCCCTTTGATCTCTCTCTCCCTCTCTCTCCTCCAGGAACAAACATATCAACCATTCTCTGCACCTCACTCCTCCGGTTGAATGAAAACAAGATGAATTTGTTCCTGAAACTGTTCACCACTGTATATACAGTTTGACGGGTCAGCTGCTTTGGACACCGTTGCTGGGGTCCAGCGAATTGACTCCGCTGAGACGCGTTTCCATGCCTTAGGGCACCGGTCGGTTGACGATGCTTTGGCGAAACTCACTCGGATTGACCTGCTGGGGTATGTAGTATTTCCTTGTCTAGTCAGGCATGCGAGTTGTTCATTCTGACTAGCGAAAATACCTGTGCTGACAGCGACCGTGATCCCATACAGCCAGGCCACAGAAGATGTCATGGCATCCGGCCAGCAGCCGGAGCAATCTCGCGTTCCCGGGTGCATCCGTATCCAGAGCTACGGTAGTCTGAAAAACGTGCCAGGACTTATCTCCCCGACTCGGTCAGATGTTCGTCACTGGCCGGTCGGGTCCTGCGTGGTTATATGAGTCGTGCCCAGCTCTCTTCTACAGTAGAAGTCTGCGCGTTGCGCGTCTGGTTTGCTGTTGGATGTCCTCATAAAATGCTCGAAGGGCTGTTCTAACACATTCATGATGTTCTTTGGCTCGGACTCTTAGGCCTTTTTGGTCTCTACGGGATATTCTAGGTAGGCATTCAATCTTGATCATTCTGAGATGTCTCTGCACATTCTGGTTTTCCTGATCTAATGGTGAAATTAGGTGGTATGGGGTTTCTCGTAACGTTAAGGTTGATCTCAGATCATGGTGTGGAAGATACAGGATTCAACAGAATCCCTCTATCCACCTCTGTATTTCCAGTATTGATAGGTCGCTATAATCAATACTGGTCTTTGCGATTTCTGTGTTGACGTTTCTACCCAAGATTGAGATGCCAAATTTCGGCCTTGATATTGCCTGCGTGTCTTTGTGCTTCCTCCGAACCCTTCTCTTTCAATACTTCGATGTCTAGAATGATACAGGAGGGTTAATAGATCCGCCTGCATGATGGCAGAGCTCTAGGTGAGCAAATTACATATGCGATGAGGTAATTGCCAACATATTGTCATGTTACTCTCCCCGGTCGGCTGCTTCTTACAATTGAGCTCCAAAGCTAACCAAAACATGTTGTATGGCACTTATATGTTGCACGCTGTTTGGAATGCTGATGGTCGCTTACGCAACTCTAGTCGCTATGCAAGCCACTTGCTTTCCGTCTACTGAACACTCCAAGCCCGATTTCTGTACACATTGCAGCCTGAACGAGAACTGAACAGACAGCGTAAACCTTTTTAGAGCTTACCTGAATTCACCGATGCGTGGAGGCTATTAGCGGATAATGCTTGTGGTTCAAGTTGAAATCTTGGCCCAAGCACCCATGAATTTCATCCCATGCGAGCAATGTTCTACAGCCACAATTACTGCTGTTGCCGTCTACTTTTAATAATAGCATGATAGATATCAGCAGAATCATTTTACCGTCAACAATAGCGATGGATCGGAAAGTGGGCGGGACTGTCAACGGACCTGCCGATCGTCAACTCGTGATACCTCATAGTATCGGCTTCAACAACGACCGACCGAGCGTCAGAACAATTCGGGGGTCCTTCCCTCGGGGCAAGGGTTTCGGAGGATGTCCCAAGCTCGGAGGAGACATGTGTAAAGGTGATGCGACTAGCAGTGTTCAGGGTCCACCAGCAACTGTGCTGATCGGACCACCTCCGAACCCCCCACGGTATCCCCCACGTCCTCGGACTTCACAGCGACCCATTTCCCCTCCATAAATGGTGTCGGTCCACACGACAAAGATCACAGCTCAAGAAGCTAAAGCACATAATTGGAATTGAAGATGTCTAAACCAGCCATTGGCTTTGTCGGCCTCGGGGCCATGGGCTTCGGCATGGCCACCCACCTTGTCCACGAAGGATACCCTGTTTACGGCTACGATGTCTTTCCAGCCTCGGTGCAGCGATTCCAAGCTGCGGGGGGCACGCCCGCCTCCTCACTGCGTGAATCAGCTGAAGGAAAGTCTTTCTACGTGTGCATGGTAGCATCGGCGCCACAGGCGCAGACCGTCCTCTTCGGACATGAGGGCGTTGTACAATGTATGTACCTCCCTAGCCATTGGCTCCCTCAAGCTAACATAATAGACCTCCCCCAAAATGCAACCCTCCTCCTTTGCTCCACCGTCGCTGCCTCATATGCGCAATCTGTCGCTGCAGAACTCGCCTCTCGAGGTCGATCAGATATTCACTTTGTTGATGCACCAGTCTCAGGAGGTGCGAAGCGCGCCGCGGATGGCACACTCTCCATCATGGCGGGTGGTTCCGAGTCTGCGCTCCAAATTGCGCGCGTTTTGCTGCAGACTATGTCTGCCCCAAGCAAGCTCTATCTTGTCCCTGGAGGAGTGGGAGCCGGCAGTAACATGAAGATGGTACATCAGGTGCTGGCTGCCATCCACATCTTGGGTGCCAGCGAGGCTATGGGTTTCGCGGCGCATCTGGGCCTGAACGCAGTGAATACAGCAGAACGGATCAAGAGCTCAGAAGCGTGGACCTGGATGCATGAGAACCGTTTTCCTCGGATGGTGGAGGAAGATTGGAATCCTGGGGCGAGTGCTCTGACAATCATCTTGAAGGATGCCGTAGGTTGCACCTGCCCCTGCCATTACCATGCGTACTGACCTTATCAGGGCATCATTACTACCTCAGCGCGTCAGAACAACTTTCCAATTCCACTCTGTGCGACTGCAGAGCAGATCTATCTCTCCGCTCTTATACAAGGTTACGGCCCCAAGGATGACTCCGCTATGATCCGCCAGTACTACTCGCATCCACTCAAAGACCTCGATACTTCCTCAGCAACCGAGGATCCAGAAACCGCTATACAGCTCGTGCTTGACCTCATGCAATGCGTCAACCTTGTCGCGGCTGCAGAAGCCATCGCTTTCGCACGGTCACTAGGTGTCGATATGGCGCAATTCTTTGAACTCGTCAGCGACGCAGCCGGTGGAAGCAAGGTATTCGTCACGAAAGGACTGGAGATGATTGAGGGTAAAATCGGCGCACAGGCGCCAGCTGGCTCAGAAACACTGGATGCGGTGGTCAGTCGGTTAGAAAAGGTGGTGCAGAAGGCGCGGGACATGCACTGCCCGCTCCATCTCGGCAATGCAGCACTGAGCGTATTATTGATGTCTAAGGGCCAAGGGTACGGGTCGGAGGCCAGCACCAGCGTAATCCGTGTTTATCCGTAGACTTAGCCGCCGAAATACTCAAGATTTAATATCATCAGGAATGATCTCATATGGGTCGGAGCAACTCCGGCTGTAAATAGTGGAGTCAACATCAACCATTCCGTCGCGACAGAACTATAAGACTACCCTTCACACATACTCACACAACTAATTTACTTCTTCAATACCCCCATTCATCACTTACATCCCCTCCCTCTCAACCAAAACTACCACCACCACCACCACCACCATGCCCCTCCCCAACAACCGCGCCCTCCCCATCCTCGACCACGCCTACCAGCACCACTACGGCGTGCCCGCCATGTGCTGCTACAACCTAGAAGGCATCCTCGCAACAGTCCGCGCCGCCGAAAAGCACCGCTCGCCCGCCATGATCCTCCTCTTCCCCTGGGCGCTCCAATACGCAGGCTCCATCCTCGTACACGCCGCCGCCGAAGCGGCCCGCAACGCCTCCGTCCCCATAACCGTACACCTGGACCACGCACAAACACCCGAAATAGTCCGCCAGGCCGCAGACATCACGCCCGGATTCGACAGCATCATGATCGACATGTCACACTACGAGAAAGCCGAGAACCTCTTATTAACACGCGAACTCGTCACCTACTGCCACGAGCGGGGCATCGCGACAGAAGCCGAGCCCGGGCGGATCGAGGGCGGGGAAGACGGCGTCTCGGACACTGCGGACCTGGAGGGAGTGTTAACTACCCCCGAGGAGGCGGAGGAGTTCGTCAATACGGGGATTGATTGGCTGGCTCCGGCTTTTGGGAATGTGCATGGGAGTTATGGGCCGAGGGGGATTAGGTTGGAGTATGATCGGTTGGAGAGGATTAGGGAGAGGGTGGGCGGGAGGGTGAGGTTGGTGTTGCATGGGGCGGATCCGTTTGATAAGGGGATTTTTGATCGCTGTGTTGGGGCTGGGGTTAGTAAGGTGAATATTAATAAGGTGTTGAATGGGGAGTGGGTGGGTGTTATGCTGAGGGCTGGGGAGGGGGATCGGGGGAAGGGGGTGGGCGTTATGGGGTTGGTGGAGGAGGCGACGGCTAGGATGGAGGAGGCGGTTGGGAGGTGTATTGAGGTTTTGGGGTCGGGGGGGAGGTATTAATTGTTTTACTAGTAGTTCTTTTGGTAGTTGGCTTTGGGGTTGTGAGGGGGGGGGGGGGTTGGTTTTTATACTAGTATTATATCTCGTGTGGTTGTTGCTCTATCTTAGTATATATAGATTGAGTGGGATCATCTTGATTGATTGTTAGTAGTAGGAATTGAAGTATTGCTAGTATCAATTACTGGATTATTTTGTCTTTACTATGGGTTATGTATCTTGAGATGAGAGAATATAGTTACTGTGTAGTATACTCAATCATGATGATACCGGGTACTAGCGGCGATATATATAAGTTGAACTCGCAGAGACCAGGTCTAGACTAGTACTTGAATTAGTGCGATTCTAGACATTTACAGCATTGAAATCTAATCGAATATTCTCCGAATTGCGGTGCTAAATTATTGAAATCACGGTGTATACACTCTTATATATATATTATATAAAGGGGCGAGTTGACACAGCCTGATAATTATCACCAGTACCCTACACATTCCTACTAGATCATCACAAGTATATACTCAATTGATCACTGGCTGACCGCCATGGCTATAAATCACATTCACAATTTACACCTATTGAAACACATCCGACATGAAAGACCTCGGGGATGGAGGGAATAAAGCTCAGACACGAATTAACCAAAAAGAAATGGGATAGGAAAGAAGGAAAAATACCCAGCCACACAAGACGTAATGCACAAAGAGAAAGCAATTCTTTTTAGATCTCGTGTCACTTCTCTAATGAGCAGTCATCATCTTCTTAATCTCCGCAATGGCCCGTGCGGGGTTCAGGCCCTTGGGGCAAGTCCGCGAGCAGTTGAGAATGGTGTGGCAACGGTACACGCTCATGCTGTTGTCGAGAGCGGCCTTACGCTCGGCGGTCTTCTCGTCACGGGAATCGGCCAACCAACGGTAGGACTGGAGGAGGATGGCGGGTCCAAGGTACTCCTCGCTGTTCCACCAGTACGAGGGGCAGGAGGTAGAGCAGCAAGCGCACAGAATGCACTCGTACAGACCGTCCAGCTTCTTACGTTCCTCGGGGCTCTGACGGTTCTCAAGACCCTATACACTTATCAGTAAAAAGCCCTCATCGCAGCACACGCTGTCAACACTTACATCCGCGGTCGGGGTGTCGCGCTGCAGGTAAGGCTTGATCGACTTGTACTGCTTGTAGAAGTAGGTCAAATCGGGGACCAAGTCCTTGACGACGTAGGTGTGAGGCAGAGGGTAGATGCGAGACTCCTTGGCGGTATCGGTGGGGATACGGCCTATACAGCAAATGGTCAGCGCCACCGAGCCGGGACATCGCTCCAAGCACTCCAGGACAACATACACAGGCAAGCCAGGGTGTTGACACCGTCAATGTTCATCGCGCAACTTCCACAGATACCCTCTCTGCAACTTCTCCGGAAAGTCAGGGTGGGGTCCATCTCGTTCTTGATGCGGATCAGGGCGTCCAGCATCATGGGACCGGTCTTGTTCAGATCCAGGGAGTAAGACTGCATCTTGGGCTTCTCGGTGGGCTGATCGGGGTTCCAGCGGTAGACATGGAAAGTCTTGACCCGGGGCTGCTCCGAGGGGTTGGGGTCCTGCACATTCGAAGTCTTAGATTCGGGAATGGTCTTGCTGCTCGCGTGGCCGCTTGCGCTCACCTGGGAAAGGGCGTCAACGGTCGCATAGGAGCGAGTGAAGGCGGCTGGGCGGAACAGCGGCTTCGAGGAAGCGAACAGGCGCGAGGTCGTGCGAAGGGCAGCCATTGTGGGCGGTTGAGAAAGAGATCACGGTCGATCGGGGGGCGAGGGATCTACCAGATGGCGAAAAATAGGATATGCGCGAGTAGGAGAGGTCAATGAGACCGAAAGAATGTCGATGGCGGTGGAGGGAGAGGAGAGAGGCCTGAAAAAAGAGCAGCCAGCCAGCGGCAACGACAAACGAGGTCCAAGGGAGGCACGAGGAAGTGAAGTCGATCGGTTCTGGCGATGTTTTGTCGCCTTTGGCAGCTCAAGGTAACCTCGGGTCTGGCGGCCGGCAAATGGCTGACTCAGCTGGTGCTGGCCAATCACGCAAAGCCTAATTGCAAGCGTCGGGGATACACGGCGAGGCACTGGATTGAATATAATTCCACTCAGTAACCTCGAATCGGAAGTCAATTGAAGCCGAATTATGTTCAGTCCGAGTAAGTAGCCTGATGAGAGCAGACATAGCGTCCCTTACTGATATCTAACCCCACTGTCCTCTTCGACGTCCGTGTAACTCGAGTCTGCTCGGCCAACAGGCAATATCCCAAAGGGGAAACGGAGCCGAAATCATTTGCCGTTCCGAAACATTTATGCCTAAGGCTGTAAGGCAGACACCTGCAGCCATAAAAGTCAGGCTCCAAGGTATCAACGATGTAAGGCGACAAGGCAGATATTATAGGTGTCAAGGCCACAAGGCCTTAAGGCCATAAGGCAATAGGGCAACAAGAGACCACAATATCAGGCATCAAAGCTATCCCCGATTGGGCATCTCCACCGTTCTAATCTCATTCTCGTCTTAATAGAATTCCACTCACACTTGCTTCCTTCGTGTGCGGTAGTGGAATTATGCATCACCCGCACTTTATCACATTGCAGTAGCCTGCATCGGTGGCCCCTCAACATGCAGAAAAATGCCGGTGGCGGCCTAGGAATGACGAATCTATATTACTCCTGCATGAAGTCTCTCCCACCATGCGGAAATCCATCCCCGACTGTGTTTTGCCGGTTGACTTTCTTCATCTCAACCCCCCTCAAGGCATTGATGGAAGATTGCGTTTTATTCCGGCATTTTACGGAATGAACTTGTTCATCATAACCAAAGTAAAGGACCAACGCCGAGAGAGCTCGACGTTTGAAGTCAACGATGGCCTTTGTGAGGCTAGAACCAACAAGTCTCTTCCGGGTGGTTCCGAATACCCCTTGGTCATTTACTCAGGCAATCTATCACCAACCTACTTTCTGCAATAATATCTTACGAGCTCATGATTGCTCCCACCCTCAAGTCGTGATGCTGTCCAAAAGCGGGGTTTGGCTGCCACTTTGAGGACTAGCCAATCCAATGGGCGCAGCACTTGCAAGCGGCAGGCATCGTATTCAATATCAAGGAAGTCATCAGAGGTAAACACGACAGCCTCGGGGAAGATTCTGGTTTCGGTTAAGCATAATCTTGAGTGTCAACAAGTCCACAATTAACCCCTATCGGGCGCCCGGTACCCAAGCGTCTGATCGTAGCTGGCCTAGTTCGATAGCTCCAACTGGGGTGATGTTACGGTCCTCATCAAAGGGCGAGTGGTACCGCGATGTGGCTCACCAGGTTCTAGACATGCTAGACAGACCAGATAGATGGGGTTTAATTAGACTACCACCCCATATTGTCTGATTCGGTATCTTCTTTTGGCGTGGAATAAGCTCCTTCTACGGCTTCGAAGCTTGATGAGCCAAGACGCCGGAATCCAAGCTTAACAGCAAAATGTCTCAGTATAGTGTGCAGATGGACCGGATTTATGATTGATAGGGGCAACGTTACCCCATTTCCCCTGATTCGTGATGCAAATGAGTGGTAATTGATGCCTACGGAGTCCGACATATTCCCACCTTATCGTGACCACTCAGCTGTCCAGACTAGATGACAAAATTATCAGTCAGTCAAGCAGGTCGATGCTAAATTTGGATGGCTAAATTTCTGCACTGGAGTCGAAACTCGAGGAGTAATAGCTGCTCGGCCGTCGACTTAATGGGTGGTCACTGGTGTATTACTATCACCGAAATCCGAAGACGGTTCCACTGTGGACCACTTGGCCGGCGTTCCTGGCGCCTTACCAAAAACGCCTAATTCGTTTTTTTTTTCCTTATTTCGCGCAGCTTTTCCAGCTGCTCTCATTTGACCAGAAGACCGACTAAAGATAAAGAGAGGCGTGCGGAGTACTGAAGCCATTAATAATTGAAACAAAACCGGTCTCAGTGGAAGTCAAGGAAGTAAAACTCTTCAAAGCTGCTGGAATGGTGATGCAAAATCGCCCCCTCGGTTCCCCTCTTGTTCTTCACCAGTGATGAACAGCCCTAACTGTCAAGCACGTCCAGCCTTCCATCCGCAACATCCTCAAACTACTAGCTACACCCTGATGGTCGCATTCGGTATTTTCCCGTCTATCATTGCCACAAGGACTCTGCCAAGACGGAGGAATTGCTTCTTTACAGAATTTCAATCCTGAGGCCCACCAGCCCGAGTGGATGGACTACTTTAGACTACCGAGACTAAGTGCGCCGGCGCGGGCATCATGAAACGCCGTAAATCCCCCGACTCGTTCCCAAGGTCCACCTATGACCTTCAACAGCCAGACAGCACAGTGAACCATCCAGCTCACTGTCCACGAACAGGGGCCATCACCGCGATGGACAAACCATGTGGCTACTACTCCTCTCTCCCCTTCCCATCTTGGTTGTCATCGATGCCTATCACTCCATCCATGGTCCGATATGATGGATCCCCTTCTACTACCTGCTCGGTCAGTACCGACTTTAGCGCCGGTGGAGTGACCGAGAAGAATCAACGGTTTGGCTCGATAGCCCTTGGCTACTAATGAAAGATGCACTTGGCCGTTTCATACTGATCACCCGTCCAATTTACCCAGAATGGGTCTGAGCCAAAGGCGAAGCTCTATCAGATTCTTGTCAGATGCTTCCGTCAAACTGACGAGTCAGTCTTCCCTATAAAAAGCCCCAATCCCATCCAGGTTGATCTCTTCTGTATCAAACCATTCCTTCCTTTCCTTTCCTTTCCTCTGCATACCTCTCTCTTCACCTTAGTCTTTCTTTCCCCTTCTTAGCTGGTTCTAAACACTTCACCATGAAGTACTCTACTATCTTCAGCGCTGCTGCCGCTGTTTTCGCTGGTTCCGCCGCTGCCGTCGGCGTGTCCGGCTCTGCTGAGGGTTTCGCCAAGGGCGTCACCGGTGGTGGCAGTGCCACCCCCGTCTACCCCGACACTATCGATGAGCTGGTCTCCTACCTTGGTGACGATGAGGCCCGCGTCATTGTCCTGACCAAGACCTTCGACTTCACCGACAGTGAAGGTACCACCACTGGCACTGGTTGCGCTCCCTGGGGTACCGCTTCCGCTTGCCAGGTTGCTATTGACCAGAACGACTGGTGCGAGAACTACGAGCCCGATGCTCCCTCTGTCAGCGTTGAATAGTATGTTCTTGCCGGCTGTCATCCGCTTTTGATCTCATATCTAACCTAAATAGCTACAACGCTGGTACCCTCGGTATCACCGTCACCTCCAACAAGTCCCTCATCGGTGAGGGCTCCTCTGGTGCCATTAAGGGCAAGGGTCTCCGCATTGTCAGCGGTGCTGAGAACATCATCATCCAGTAGGTTATACTTGGTGACATTAGGAAATTGCTCTAACAAAATTAGGAACATCGCCGTTACCGACATCAACGCCAAGTACGTCTGGGGTGGTGATGCTATTACTCTTGATGACTGCGACCTGGTCTGGATCGACCACGTTACTGTAGGCCTTCACTTCTTCAGTTTACTAAATCAAGAGCATCAAGTTAACAAATGATAGACCGCCCGCATTGGTCGCCAGCACTACGTCCTCGGAACCAGCGCCGACAACCGCGTCTCTCTCACCAACAACTACATTGACGGTGTCTCCGACTACTCCGCCACCTGCGATGGCTACCACTACTGGGCCATCTACCTCGACGGTGATGCCGACTTGGTCACCATGAAGGGCAACTACATCTACCACACCTCCGGCCGTTCCCCCAAGGTCCAGGACAACACTCTCCTCCACGCTGTAAGTTCTTCTATCTCTGCCGGTCACTTTCGAGTTAACTAATCACCACCACAGGTCAACAACTACTGGTACGACATCTCCGGCCACGCCTTCGAGATCGGTGAGGGTGGCTACGTCTTGGCTGAGGGCAACGTTTTCCAGAACGTCGACACTGTTCTTGAGACCTACGAGGGCGAGGCCTTCACCGTCCCCTCCTCCACCGCCGGTGAAGTCTGCTCTACCTACCTTGGCCGTGACTGTGTCATCAACGGCTTCGGCTCCTCTGGCACTTTCTCCGAGGACAGCACCTCTTTCCTCTCCGACTTCGAGGGCAAGAACATTGCCTCTGCTTCGGCTTACACCTCTGTTGCCTCTAGCGTTGTTGCCAACGCCGGTCAGGGCAACCTGTAAATGAGTTAACTCATTTACACTAAATAGCAGTGGATGTAATTAGGGGACGCGGTGTTGTTGATAAGTTACCTTTCGTGTATCTACTTCTACTATATTTACTCATGGGGAGTGTTCACGACCCTAATGTGGTTGATAACCAGCCAGTACAATGAGATTATTCTCCGTCAATCGCTCTGCTCAAGTAGATCTTATTCCGTTCACATTTAGCGACGAGTATATAGTGCAGAAATCTGAGAAGATGGCTGTCGGTAATTAAACTTCCCACCCGCTATCCCAAAATAGGAACGAAGGCCTAGTCTGGATAGCCGAGCCGGATATACTTCACCCCCAAACAGTCCTTCATTAGTAGATGCATTATCCTGGAATCGAATGTTCTTTGCGTCCACACCGTCTCAGGATTTACCATTTTCTTTATGAAACATGAAGCAGTAAAACAACTCAAACATACATCAAGATATCACGATAACAATGCACCCTACGGTATGTGCATTATACAAGCTGCTATAAGGATCATGTTTGATTTTATTCTACAATCCGTTAAACCCATTTGACGAACAAGAAGGACT